TTATTTATTTTAAATTAAATTTGTATTGTGCCTTTGGAAGGGCTTAAACCGTACACGGTCGAATTTCTAAGACAAGCAGTGAGTTTGCTACCTAAGAAAAAGGACGTGAAGTTTAGGATGTATGTATCAATACGTCCTAGGCCGAGGTTATATATAGGTGACTTGAAGTTACAAGTGGTCTAGTAATTCAACATTCCTTTTACCCGGTAGAATGCGAGAGCGACCCCGGAGCCTCTGTAACGCGGCTTTGTAGGTGGTGTCACTACTTGAGGTGGTTTTAGTGGGTATTGCTCACCCAGTCACTGAATAGCAGAGATTCTGGTGTGGGTCGAATCCCACATACCCTTGCATCTTTGGGGGCAAATGCATTTCCACCTCGGATATTTAAAAAAAGAGTAACAATTTTGAAGAACTGCTGATATTATTTTTATACCATATTCCTCTGTTACTTGAAATTTAGCCTGGCCACATATTAATATATACTAAGTGCTATGTAGTTCTGAAGAAGTCTTTGAAGTTAAAGAGCAGTCAAAGATACTATCTAATCCTCAATACTGTGCGTGCTACTCTTTAGAAATTGGCAATTTTCTCAAAATCGGTGTTTATAGTAACATGAACGATGTCAATTACATTATTAACGAACAACCTCTTTGTTTTAAGTATTAAATCGACCAAGCAATAGGTATTAAAGGTGATCCTTGAAATTGGCAGACCTCGATTTTGATAACTGTACAGATTTTTGTTCACGCCGTCATCAGCCAGATCACTCTGACGAGGACATCGCTCCGATCACAAAGCACCGGAAACCGACTTCCGTTTTGATTGCCATAATTTTTTGGAAACGCCAAATTTTTCATAGCCCAGGCCTTCGTATGCCATTGTCATGCAGATTCACCATTGTAATATGTTTATTAAAATTTAGGTTTAGTTTTTACTACCAAACATCACCTTTCAGATAAACAATTAGCATTCCAGATAATTCTTCATAGACTTGGCATCCTTATGGAGTATTCTGTAATGATTATTGTAGATCGCACAGAGTATTGTCTCGTCTGCAATCGAACATATGTTGGGGTCTATTTTGAATAATAGTTTTTTAGTATTTCAACACACTTACTATCTAAACACAGCCTTAGTTTATTTTGGTTACAGCATTTTATAAGTTTTTCATAATTTACGATTAATTCAGTCAAAACCTTTCATGTGGTATTAATTAAAAATATATTAAAATAAAAAAATTCAAAAAGCTCGGTCCCTGTGGCAATGTACTTAAAATCCTGACATCTTTTCCTTGGTATATTTTCGTAAGCAAAACCTAGAATAAACAAGTAAATGTTCAATATTAAAACCACTACAGCCATGTCAACTTCCGTTATTCCGAATAATATGTTATGGATCCAATTAATCATGTATTTGTATACGCCCCTTTCACGCGTCTATGACCATTAACGGTATCGTTGACAAAGTTGAGACCATTTTGAAACCTGTCAATGCCTAACAGTAAATTCTGTATATAATCTGTGAGTGCACTAAATAATTGGAAAATATAATAGGTTTTATTATGCGAAACAATTTTGATATAATATGAGGGAAATAGTCGATACAATGTTTTTTATAATACAATACTGTTCGACTGTAGTAAGGTACGAACTGGGTGTAAATTAACAATTTAAAAACGCGATACATTATTTATATAACTTGTTTCGAGTACTTTACAGTACACATAACTTAAACATCGACGTAACATTTATAACAAACGAAACACACACAGCCAAACACACAAGATAATAATAATAATAAAAAAAAAAAAAAAAAGGAATGAGGTACATTTTATAAGTGTGTGGTGTGGTTGTAACTGGTCCTGGCTCAGCATTATGCTGAGGAGCAGACTGTTCCACAGCGCTGGTCATTCTGCCAGCGACCACAGCAGCTAGTTTGCGCCTCAGACGCAAAAAAATAATATAACGATATTTAGTAAAAAAAAAAAAAATAATAGTAGAAAAAATAATAATAGTAAACATTAACAGTGTAAATAAAGAAGTCTTGGAAGATTTGTGTGTAAAAGTATATAATTATATTAGTCAATTAGCCGCTAAATAAATTTTAGTTAAATGTGTAGGTAATATATATATATAATATATATATGTAGGTAATGGATATTACTAGTGAAAATAATAATAAAAATTTAAAAAAGTTAGTAACAATTTTACTCTTAACCTATGTCAAAGATATGATAAGATAGGCTTATTAATAATATGCTGACGCATCCCTGCAAGCATTGTACCCGGCCTCCCCCAGCTCTATAAAACAGGATGAATTGGCCGATGTGAAAGGCCCTGCTGTGCCAAGGTCCATTCCACATCATTCGTGGCCGTAGAGGACCGTAATATTAACGGCTGATCGCGTGGCTTGATGCGGACAAGGCTACGCTGTCGGGCGATTGCTGGTGGCGCCGTGGGGTTTTAGTGGGTATGCACAACAGCGAGTCCCACATAACCCTTCCCCACCAGGTCAACCATGCCGCGGGAGGGTATGCGTAACGCATTTCCCCACGAAAAAAAAGGCTTATTAATTATGATCATATCAAAAGTCCATTATTAATAAGCCTATGTCAAGGCCTATAAGTGATGTCTAATAAGAGCTGTCAGAGGTTCTTTCTGCCTCTGCCTTCTGCTTACCAACAGTTCCCTTTAGAAACTGTCGTAGATATTTCTAATATGCTGTAATACGAACGATTTTTGTTATTGACGTGTACGTACGCTTAAGTATATTATATTCAGCCTTGTTCTCAATTGTCTCATCACATTCATGAAGTGCAACGAACCGCTATTTTACACACTCCGAGGGCATATGTCAAACGTACTAGAAATTTCATGTATATCAAGCTGCTAAACGATTTAAGGTTTATATGTAGCATGTGCTGTGTCGATATCTGAAGAAAGTATTTTTTGGTTCACGTTAGATTGTCCATCGCGAAATCGCAGCCGTCTCCGGTGTATAAGTGGGGAAACGGGTTTTTGTACTTTACAAAACACAGAAAAAATATTTAATTTTAATTTTGTACGATACAAAACGCCGCATAAATAAAAAAAAGATTCTCTAGATTTAAGGAAATAAAACTAACTTTGGAGCAAGTTTCACTATAGAACTTATCAATAGATAAATAAACTAATAAAAAAAATGATAAAGTCACTTATTTAAAATCGGCTTGTTTATTCATTACAAAGCACACAAAATTCAAACCTTTTTAAATTTACAAGTAACAAACGATGGACAACGCCACTCTTGTGCATTCAGTTAGTGTTTAACTGAATATGACTTTACCGCGGTGAATCTCAGAGCCAGCAATAGTTGCCGTTAGTTACTCGCAGCCCCAACGTCTCTAACACATCAGCATTGTGTACCCTAGCTGTAAGGATTTCGAATAGGTACCAGTAATAGCTAGATCCCTCTTTACCACTAGCTGAGTGTATCCAATCATACCCAAAACGAACAATGTCGGCGGGCGAAATTTCCATAAATTCATTCAATCATTATAGAAGTTATATAGCTAAATGTGTTCATGATTTATTGCAAATATCTTAAAATATATAATTCCCATTTCTTCTTAATATAAATTTTCTAAATATAATGACTAAAACATATTATTAAAAGGAGTCCCTTTTTCCGGTTCCGAAGATACTGGCATCCTTCCCCCTTTGAATAGCTTCCAGCTCTTCGGTCTACTGTGATGTCGACTAAATATTTAAAATATATGTAAAAAACATCATATTTGTTTACATATTGTAGGTAAAACAATAGTTATAACGCAATTTGTATATTGAATAGGTTTCGTTAGGACACATTATTTGTTTAATGAAATTATGTTTGTTTAGCGACACACAATGTCACAAAAATATTTACTCTACATTATATTATTATTCGCTCGCTGTATTTGCAAAAGCAATTACTAAGTGCAGAAATAGATATCATATTTGTATTGCAATATTTGTCAAATAAATAATAATTTCAAGATCGAAATGTGTGATTCGTATCAAATATGCGTACCTATAGAGGGAATCTTCCACTACACTGGTGTGCTTTTTTCCCGAAGTTATTTCCTTTCAAACTCTCTACTTCAGCCATAACCTCTCTACCTCATCCCTGAGGTCATGGGTTCAATCCCCGGCTGTGCACCAATGGACTTTCTTTCTATAAGCTGACGCGACCCAAAGCTGGTGAGTTGTATCTGGCACCTAAGGCTTACGATTAACTTAGATAACGATCAAATATTTAAAAAAAAACAGATTCAGAAATCTAAAAGATTTTTTGTTCGCCACTGGTATGGTTTTGTTTTTATACGTAATATTAAAAATGGCGTAATATCAAGACGCTGGTTTTAATTGTATGTCATGTATGTTTAATACAAACAACTTTGTTCTACGAGTATAGTACTTATGTATGTAATTATATAGTTACATAAAAACGATTTACTAAAAATATTATCTATTTCAGTGTTCTTCATCTATATCATGATCACACAGCATGAAATAATAATTTGCTTTTTTCATGTTTTATTATGTTACGACGTTTTGTTCTTAATTTTTTTAATTGTGGAGCCGTTCTCACTGCGAAAATCTTTGTACCAGAATTTAAGGCGTTTAATACTGATAACTTAAAATATGCTCTGTTTTGTTGTAGGTACAATAAAATAGAAACTGTATCCGATATGAACTGATTAGTTACACTTGGCAAGGTCCTTCTTTACCTTTATTAATTTGATTTAGTTATTTGTCATTTTCACTCGCAACTCTTTTTTAAGAAGACGTGTAAAACGTATTCAAAATGTTACCAATCAAATAAAATAAAGAATTATTTACAAGAGATTTATGAATTAGTCTAAATCGTGTAATTAATTATGATATTTAGTCCCCGCCGACTGGAGCGTTTATTCAAAAAAAATTGTTTTCAGGGGACCACATGAACGGTCGGTGACCTGACAAGGAGACATCGGTAGGAAGATGAAGCCACGAGGGTTTAGCGTCATGCACGCCTTCTCAGCTCTTACTATGCTTACGATGGCTAATGGTATGGAATACTATTGAACACCTTCCAAAAATAAATACGTTCATCTCAATTCGCCGGTTACGGGAGTCCAATTATAAAATTAAATTAATTGGATTAGGGACATCTATCAGTAGTAATATCTGGCACGGGTTGACGGATTTTTAAACATATTTGGTAGACATTGATATGTTCTTTAATATTGTGGAATGTTTTTTTCTTCTATCATCAATAGTTTTCGCAGCGCATGCGATGAAAGATATTTTATAGGCATTTGTTTTTACACCTTGGGTAACATTATTGTAGTTTTAGTAGGGATCCTTATCTTTTTCTTTCAATTAAAATATCCTATATTAATCAGTGACAATGTAGCATTCAATTGGTGAAAGAATTTTTAAAATCGGTCCAGTACTTTTTGAGCCATGTCGTTACAAACATATTTACATACAAATCTTTCCTCTTCATAATATTAGTATAGATAAGTACATATACAAAAACCCAGTAAAGAACGTATTTATTATGTTTTCAGCACAAACGACTTGTAATCAGGGTATGGGTCGAGTTATGTATGAAAGACTTCCCAATCAACAACTCCATGGCTTTGATGATGATGTTGTAAGTATCCCGCAATCTCCCCAGATTTTGAATTTGGCGTGTTGAATGTTTCGCAGTGATAAAAGACATATCAACTTACTTTCTTCTTACATGCCAGGCTATACCGTTCATGATGATGGAGAGGAAAGAACAATTTAACAAGTCATTTCATGCGAAAATATTTAGTGAATTAAATAAAACCTTTTTTTCTACAGATCCGTGAAACAGCACCCCCATTTCGCGTCTTGGAAAAGTGTCAAGATCTGTGTCTTCGTGATAGATCGGGAAATGGCCTTGTCAGGACTTGCAACTCAATAGACTTCCAGCCAGGAGCGAGGATAGCCGCTTTCAGCCCGGAACCGGAGTATGAGGAGTCAACCTGCTACCTTACAAGGGAACAGGCGGCTCCAGAGGGAATAGGAACGTTGATGATTGTCCCCAACAGTGTTCATTTCAATGAGATCTGCTTATCATGTAAGTGTGATTCCAGATTTGTAATGGTTACGCTACAAATTCTATTTAATATTCCGGGTATCTTCTATTACGATAAACTTTTGCATAAAATTCAAGTACATTTTGTACCTTTTTGTAACAAAATTATCTTCGCAAAAGTGGAAGTTTTTGTAATATTGAGTTAGCTAGGTGGGCTGAAAAGTTCGTAGGATGAAACATTGATTGCGCTACTTGTATTAAATTAATGTGATCTTTAGTTAGCCCTAACCTACAAAAAACACGTGTATAAATTTGACAACTGTTTGTGAGATATAGTATTTTGAGTGAAGGAACTTTTGTTTGTTTAAAAAAATGGATAACACACGAAACATCAATCACGCGTTATTAAACATTCCTTTGCTTGCTTTTAAATATAATAATTCTTGCTTAATAATAATTGTTGGTTTTTTAAAAAAACTTTTGAGTTGTTTGACAAAACGAGAAACATTTACCGAGTACGGGAAATTTGCTTTTTTCACAGAATTTAGATATAGTAATGTTTTATGCCGTGCCATTTCTCCAATAACTAGAACGATAACATTCAAGTGAAAAGATCTAGACCAGATTAGCCATTTGTTCTAGATTAAATTACAGATTTAAAAAATAACTTTTCAAACAATGTTTTCTTTGTACAAAACTTTTTCTTTGAGCATATTTTTTTTAAAATACGCACACAATTAGAGAAAGAAACTCTTCATGTTTCTTTAGAGTTTATTAAAAGTCTCTGGGGTCAATGTACTTAATGGAATTATGTTTTTTGTTTCGTATATTTTTTCAGCAATGTAATCTGTTTTGGCTTTGTGTACCTACTGTCTAAGTGTTTTCTTTTTTATGAGTTGTAAGATTAATAATAATAAATGCCCTTTATTCACTGACCTTTTTAACTTACATGCTATTCTTTTTTAACAGTAGTATTCTTAAATCTAATTTACATAGCGAAAATAATAATTTATTAGCAACCACTTTGGTCAGGTTGTCTGTCGATATAGGCCTCTCCCAATTGTTTCCACGTCTCTCGATCCTTGGCAGTCCTTCTCCATCCTTTTGGTAGATCGTCCCCCCATCTTTTAATTTGACCTTCTCGTTTTCTTTTCCCGTTTCTCGGATACCACTCTATTGCATCCTTATTCCTTTTTTCTTTGTTAGTCCTCATTATATGAGTTGTTAGATTACTTATAAATACAATACTTTTTTAGCGAATCGGCCAGAACGGGAATGCCCATCCAGACGTTATGTATTCGAACGTCACGCCCGTAAGCGTCTCAAACTGCCATCGTCAGATTTAAAGGACATCATGGTCGCGAACCGTACAGAATGTGAAGATAAGTGCCTGGGGGAGTTCAGCTTTGTGTGCCGTTCAGCGACTTTTGATTCGGCTCTTAGGACCTGCTCGTTGAGTAGGTTCACGAGAAGAACCCACCCGGAGTTGTTGGAAGATGACCATAACGCGGAATATCTGGAGAATACCTGTTTGAACGGTGAGATTTATTTACTAGCTGCCCCCGTAAATTACATTTCGCCTTAATATTCTTCAGAGTTCAAGATATAAATTAAAAAAATTACACAAATTTGTCCAACAGTCTTCGAGATTCGCCCTTAGCGACATATTTTAAGATTTATTTTTAGTTATTTAAAACTTGTTAGATTATTAATGTGGTAGCGTCGTCTATTGCAAAGATTATTTACCTAATCCAATTGTTATGGGGCAGACACATTACGTCTGTTATATGGATTTATAGGCCAGCTTGACTCACCTGCAGCAGGTAACTATAAAGCCATGGCACTGGGTTTGTATACCAGATAGATAATAGACGATTTGAAGAGCAGTCTTTACTCACAAAGTTCGTAAGTTCTGCGAATGAACAAAGGAAATGCTTTCTAGACGACTTAATTTGGAAATAATGTAACAAAACTTATTTTGTTACATACATTGTTGAGACGAGCAGTGTTGGCCTGATTCAGAGTGCGACTCTCATCTCTGAGGTCATAGGTTCGAACCCCAGCTGTGCACCAATGAACTTTCTACGTGCGCAACACTCACTTGTACGCGGAGAATATCGCGAGACCTATTTGACTACAAGATTGATCGCGAAAAGGATACAGAAAAACTAAATCTTTTAAAAGATTGTTGTTTCTAAAAAAAATATGTTTTATTCTGTACAGCCGAGAGAAGATGCGACGGCCTAGCTGTCTTCATAAAGGAAGAGAACAAACGACTCGGAGGCCCATTCGAAGCTGATGTCTTCTCCAATATGACACTAGATGAATGTCAATCCATGTGTGTCCGAGCTGAAAAGTAAGTTAAAATAATAGTAACCTGTTATAACCACAGTACTAGCTGCCTTATCGAAATTCGTTTCGCCGTAATATGTTTTTTTAATAGCTACATACAAACATATGGAACATTTTGCTATGCTACCCCATTGAGAGTGTTAGATTTTTCGGAATAAATAAACTTAAACACCATAACTACATTTTTCTCTCCATTAAAACTTTCCTCAGAGTTTAATGAATAAATAAAAAAAATCGAATTGGTCCAGCCGCTTCGAGTTTTGCACACAACACATTGCAAATATTTTTTTTATATCGATATAGATGTAAATGTTATTTGTAATATATATATATCTTAATATATATATATATATATATACAATATTATTGTAAGGGTTTATTAAATTACTAAACAAAGTGGTATGTGGCTGTTTACGTTTAGATTTTATTTACTACGATTTTTTACTTACACTTCAGTAGAGACTATTGTTTTAATAGAAAAAGGGGCAACTGGCAGTAGGCTCACCTGATTTTAAGTGATAAGTTTAAGAGAGCCCATGGGCGGCTCTCTTAAAACCAAAGGTCTCGTGAGGGCGTGGCGGCATTATAATATATAGATTTTTTTTAATACAAGTAAATATCGATGCAAAAATATTGTTCTTAAATAAAATAGATAATACTATTTTTTTAATTGCAGGATATGGTAAATGAGATTACTATTAGGATAACGCGGGCCTAATCATATTCTTTATTAGCCATTCCTGAACTTAATTTAATTTTTGTGTCTCCAAACATTTCGTAATCTTCTAATATATAAAATTGTCGTGTCAATGTTCGTTCTCATACTCCTCCGAAACGGCTCCACCGATTCCTATAATATTTTTTATGCAAGTTCAGTAAGTCTGAGAATCTGCTATAATCCCTATATCTTTTAAACCCCTAAGTGATAAGGGGTGTCCACCTTAAATTCACCTTTTTTTTTATTTTTTCAATATTTTTTTTGTTTTTATTTTTTTATGATAAAATCATACAAAAATACATACAACCCTTAATTTTCACCCCTCTACGATTAACCCCTATTTTTTATTATTGATAATTATTTTTATTGAACTAAAATATTGTTTCCTAAAAATAATATACAGGGCAAAACAACGTTTGCCGGGTCAGCTAGTATTAGATAACAATAAACGAACGAACGTATGTGAAGCAATATACATTCAGATATTTTAAAACCTATGAAATTTCAGGTACTTTTGCCGTTCAATAGAGCACGATGAAGTGACAAAGCAATGTGTGCTTTCTGAAGAAGACTCTGTGTCTCAGAAGGATGACGTCACTGTTAGTGCATCACCTACTCACCATTTTTACGACCTTGTCTGCCTGGATAATCGTAAGTTGTATTTATCGTATTGCTTACAGAACAATAAGATTTTTGTTGTGAATAAATTAATCTTTCTATATCAATCAGAGATTGATATTCATTCAGTTGTGAGCAGTGTTGGCCTAGTGGCTTCAGTGTGTGACTCTCATCCCTAAGGTCGTAGGTTCGATCCCTCGGATGGACCAATGGACTTTCTTTCTATGTGCGCATTTAACATTCGCTCGAACGGTTTAGGAAAACATCTTGAAGAAACCGGCTTGCCTTAGACTCAAAAAGTCAATGGCGTGCGTCAGGCACAGAAGGCTGATCATCTACTTACCAAATGATAAGTAGGTGATCAGATTACCAAATGATCATGAAACAGATACAGAAATCTGAGGCCCAGACCTAAAAAGGTTGTAGCGCCATTGATTTTTTTAAATCAATTAGTGCAATGATTAAAGAGTAGGTTAGTAACATTCGGGTTTATAATACATAAACATCTGGTCTATTGTAACATCACTATTTAGTCTGTGATTAGTGTGGACACCACTAGTGATTGTCTATGATTGATATATTTCCGCGCGGCACTGGTTTGTTGGGACTCGCCTGAGGCACAACCTGCAAGCTGATGTATTATAATGTATGTCTAATTAATAAACAAAGTGTACCATAAATGGTATGCTTCATTACTCCAACAAACATAACATGGTGTCAGAAGTGTGATACGAACCCAAGCCCTCAAAGAGTTAAATTCGGACAGTTCTCGAAGCAGTTCAGGCCATTTTCGGCCCCCTATAACTTAATTGTGGATACAATTAGATACAATTGGATACAATTGGCTAAGGAACATAAAATATTAGTAATATTAATTTGGTCACTATAAGATGTTGTTAGGTTAGCTAATTACGTAATAATTTAAGACAGAAGATCTCTTAGAGACTGAAAAAATTAACCGACATGGATCTCACAACTTATAGGTGAAGGAAGGAAGAACTGTGTTGCAAGACTTGTTGTTGATGGCACATAATTTACCCACAAATAAATCTTTACACAATTATTTAAATATTCCTTTTATTTTTTGCGTTTGTAATTGCGAATCCATCCGCCTTAGGAGGCACAGAATCACACAATACCTTTGAGTCACTAAAATAAGAAATATGACCCACTAAGCAAAGGTACCACAATAAGGGTTGTCTCTCAATGATCAGTCTCTCACCGGGTGACAGCTCGCGGTACCGAGTACCCGGACAACAGTGCGACATCCCACCTGTTTGCCCCGGGACGACGTCCGGATACAGCCTTCCAACGGTACCGCAACAGCCGGATAACCGGGGAATTCCACTCGGAAATAACTGGAAGATCGCTCAGCGAGTGTCTGGATGAGTGCTTGCGACAGACGAGTTTTCAATGCAGGTACGTAGGGTAGAATTCAGAGTCGCTATAAAATAAAATAAAATAAAATATGTTTATAATGGAATATAAGATACAGGTATCACTTATTCCACATCATTAAGTTTGAATCGGTAGACATCCCTACTCATCGGTAAAGAAGACAGAAGGTGTAGGCCGAGAGCAAAAAGCGGCGTAAAAAACTCTCGGTACTCTTTTAAAATAGCAAATCATCAAACAATACTTATTTTAAAACAAATATCGCAAATTAATTTGAAGAAGCCTGTCTAGCAATAGTCCCAGGACCTTTTATCAACTAGATAATCGTTAACTTTATAAGCCTTTTCAACTTTTCTTTAAAACAAATGCTATATATGTCAATATCCAATAAGTTTTTATATACGGTAGTTAGTTTTAGTGCTAAATTTAAAAAAAAATACTGGTTGATTCTTTATATGTACATGCTTGGTATATCAAAATGTTTATACACATTTTCAACTTAATAACTGTGGAATAGTTCTGCAACTTTCTTATGAACTGAAGATTTAAATATAATAATAAATTAATTTTGCAAAATTGCACTGCAAACTATAAGGAACAACAATATGAACTATGGCTCCACTTAACAAAATCCATCACGTTTTGACCTACAGAAGTCAGACTTAGCACTATATAGTTGTATTGCAACATTCATTTGTTTATGACAACATTATAGCTTCTACAGATATTAATTTTATGAATACACAATGATTATTATCGCTGTTATCTTGTGGCATAGGTCACATTCTATATATATCACTGTGCGTCACAAGGTATCATAAGTTCACTGGACATGTTATCGGAATCGAGTTTAATTTGATAATTTCTATGGAAATTTTGATGGGCAATAAAGCTATAAAACATAGGCCGCATTATAACACGTTGAATTTTGTTTTTGATGTGAAACATCTATAGCCGCACGTAAAACCGATTTCTGGCGTGACGGCGCGTCGCCACGCTATATGATTGTGTATATATATATACAGTCTATATGCAGTAGTGTGTAAATTTTTGTATTTGATGAAAATAAATGTTTATTCAATAAATAGTCATCGTTATCGTAATATTTTATTTTATCACTATGACATATTTAGTTCCTATCACAATTTGTTCTTCTCTGCATATTACTTTTACAAAATAATGTCGATGTTTCACATCTGCCAGGCGTCCCGTGACGGCTCACATTTTTTATAGTTTAAATAAATGTCAATTTCGTGTCAAAATTAAAAACAATTGATTACGATCCAAAGTGAAATCACTAATAGTCCATTGAAATGTTACAATTTTAGGGCCATTTGAACATTTGTTAGTTATTTTTACTTATAACTTTTGAATTTTAGCTTTACGATAAAAAGTCTCATACACATAATTATAGGCAAAGCGATTTGCAACAAAATATGTCTTTACAAATTTTTTGTATGATGGATAGTTTAGGAGATATAGCAAAAATCGTGTTTTCACCCCTTTTTCCAAGATGGCGGCCGGGCGCCAACCCCACATACTTGGGGTTAAGCTTGTATTGACCCCCCCTACATGTTCCATAAATAAAATTGCGTCTTCTAACAAATGTTCAGCAAATGTAACATTTCAATGGACTATAAATAGACAAAGGATCTTTGGATATGTAATCCTATTAAATTAATACATCATAGTTATTTATTTATACTAAAACATGTTTAATTAACACTAGGTCGGCGGTATATAGCGATCGTGCAAGAACATGCCGGCTCAGCAGATATAACCAAAAAGATGGAATGCGTCTACTGTACGACCCTGACTTTGATTACTATGAGAACTTAATGCGTGAGTATTCTTCCGTATTTTAATCATATCTAATCTTTATTTTAAAAAAATATATTTACAATTTTTGCGTTTATTTATCTGTAGGAAGCATTTTAAAAGATCGATAATTATAAGACTGTCCCCTCATCGATAAAAATGTGTTGTTTAAACTTCTTTTATGTAATAGTTTGTATAACTAAACAACACCTTTACACGAACGATGTAGTTACAAAATATATAATAACTAGCGGATCCGACAGACGTTGTCCTGCCCTGCGATTCTGTAACTCACTTTTCGAACTCACACAGCGGTTTCGCATCGGCGGTCGCTCTGAAATAAGTCGTGAAGCAGTCATATTATGATTTGGCATTCTGAAAAGGTGGGAGCTTGTAGTTTATTGCTTATCAGAATGCCAAATCATAAAATGACTGCTTCACGACTGATTTGAGAGCGACCGCCGATGCGAAAACCGCTGTGTGAGTTCGAAAAGTGAGTTACAGAATCGCAGGGCTGTACACACGTCTTACGTACAAAAAAAGATATCTAACAATGTAATTTATCATTCTCGACTCCACTTGGAACGCACAAAAAATTTCATCAAAATGTGTCCAGCTGTTTAAGAGTTTAATAGCATAAGCTTCTGTGCATATGTTAGTAATATGCACAGAAGCTTTATATATAGCTATACCAGCTGTTTATTTGCTGTATAGATAAATACTAGATACTGACTGCAGCGCCATCTGCCAGGCTAATTTGTGAGTCTATATATATACAGAATGTATAAAGATATTACGTGTAAATTAAGGTACGTGTTGTCTGAAATCTATAAAAAAAGATTCAATTCATAAAACTGTTATACATTTAATTTTTTTTTAAATAATATGGACGAAGTATCACGATACTAGCATGGGCAGTATGATATCCTAATAAAAATGAGATCGATTCAAATTACCATAAGTGGGCAATTGACGCAAGTGGTATCATGTGACATTGATCCTAGTGTCTAGAAATAGAACTAACCTTTGTATTTTGTATAGAAAATAGCCGTTAACAAGCTGCTCGCGAAATTACCACATAAATATACTTCCGTACCCTATATTCAAGCTAGTTACTTCTGCTTCCAATTGATAATTATGTATTTTATCAACGAATGTTTTAAAAATATTTCTATTCCTATAAATTACCTATAAAAACACACGGTGTATGTTTTAGCACCATAATATATGAAATAGCAAATACTAAAATCATTAATATAAATTGTAGGAGTTTATCCTTTAAAGAAGTTTTATTTAATTGAAAAAACAAATGAAGAACACATTTTGTTTCTTTTTTTAAGAAATCTAATTCCATACTTAGATTGGAACCGATTATTTATTATACATACAGATTTTTTCATAACCATGACCATGCATAATACCTGTATCATATTAGGAATGCTAGATAAAGAAATCTACTTATGCTATGTTAAAATTGAATTTTAAATAAATGAATAGAAGTTTAGTCCCTGTGGCAGTGTACCTTTAACCTTTATTGCGATACTTACTCGTTGACCGAGAAAACCACCAGCTCTGGGGTTACAGGGACTATCAGGCGCCAATTTAACTTTTAATTAATGCCTATGTATTTGAACCCCACGGCCCAAGTCTTTTCTTCATAGGGAACAAAATCAAAGTTGGAGGAAAGATATAATATTTGAGCCGTTTATTATATTCCGCTTGCATAAAATATAGATTTGTAAAAAGGAATGGAAAATCTAAATGTTCGCGTTCCCTATTCGTTGCAGTTTTGTTATTACATAACGTCTAAAATTGGAATTAAATATCTAATGTTGTCAAAATTTTGGGGTCCAGATCAAATAGTAACTGGGGAGAATGATGTGTCCAGCGGTGGTTCGCAGTCATCCTGGGGAAAGCCAAATAAATCAGGTTCGATGCATGAACGGTTTTAGTAGTTTGATTTTAGATTTTATTTATTGTGTTTTAAATATTGTTGCACGTATCCATTGTTGTGTGAAAAGGTAAAGAAGATAAGTAAGTTGTTAGAATATATCTTTGAATTAATTATAGAGTGATAGAGTTTCAGTTCATTGTTTATTATGAAGGCTATTTAATGTTTATATTAATTGTTATACACTTAAGTAGTTGGTTATTTTTTCCTGTAGATAGAGCACGATATCGTAGCTAGAAGTGGTTAATATTATTTATTGTAGTTAGAAGTGTAATTCGCATGCTGTAAACAGCTCTTCATACCTATATTCTGATTGTTACCTTTTTCTTTTATAATCCGCTTACGAAATCATTTTTATATTTCAAGGTGGTACCAACAGTGATAGAGACAGGGACAGGGATAGAGATAGATATCCTCCGGGCGTAGACCGCTATCCGGATGATGATAGATATGATGACGACAAATACTACAACCGCCCGGACCGATACCCGGACGATCGCTACCCGGCTGGTGCAGACGATCGCTACCCGGAAAGATATCCAGATGACAGATATCCGGATGACAGATACCCATCTGGTGTTGGGCCTGACAGATACCCTCTCGATAGATATCCACCACCTTCCGACCGATACCCACCACCCTCCGATCGATACCCTCCACCTTCTGACCGTTACCCGGCTCCTGCTGACAGATATCCATCTCGTTATCCAGTAGTGCCAGTGTCTGATCGCTATCCAGCAGTGCCTGATAGGTATCCACCCCCAAATGACCGATATCCACCTTCTGACCGATACCCACCTACTGTCGACCAATACCCAAATAGAATACCTATTGACCGTTATCCAGGTGGTAAATATCCTATAGATGGTGAACGATATCCAATTGACAATGAGATTGGGCGATATCCAGTTGACCGGTACCCGATAAGTAGATACCCAATCGACGATTACTCAGATCGGTATCCACAGGACAGATATCCGATCCAACCCGGCCGATATCGACCGGGCTATCCTAGATATCCTGATAGATACGATCAGGACCGTTACCCCGGTAATGAGTACCGGTATCCATATAGCCGATACCCGGTTGGCGTAAACCGGGATCCTACGCCACTAGGCGGTGATAGATACCCGGATATGTATGACAAATATCCACCGAACGGATCATCATATCCTGGTAAGCACTAACCTATTGACAGATCACATTCCTTTAATTTATTATAATATGTTAACTACAGATAACAAAGAAGTATTTGTTTTGTTATTATCTCTTTTAAGAAAACTCCTTTGGTTTACGTATATCCCTCGATAGATTAATTTTAATTAAGTTGTGTTAACTTGACCCAAGACCCATAGTCTTGATATTTATTTCATGTTCCACAAGTATAGCTATTTCAATAAACAGGATATGGGCGCGGTGGATATTATGGAGGTGATCGTTATCCGACGTCAGATCGCTACCCAACTTCTGATCGGTATCCAACTTCTGATCGGTATCCAACAGCTGATCGGTATCCAACAGCTGATCGGTATCCAACAGCTGATCGGTATCCAACTTCTGATCGGTATCCAGACACTGCTATAAGACCAGCAGACAGGTTATTATTAAATTATATATATCAGTTCATCTTCATTTAATTTTTACATTATTTTGTTCGATTAAGGCCAATACAAGTTCGGATTAAAGATTATATCATCATAATTGTTGTTACGTTAATGTTAAATTTAGAATTCCTGTGGAACCAAGGCCTACATTTGGTATAAGAAGACCTATAGACAGGCCTGGTGGGTACCGAGGAAACTACGCACCACCTATTGAGAGGCCCATTGGTAAGTTTACCGTAGTCGATTTCTTCGTAATCTTAATAATTTTTAATTTTTAATAATTTTGGATGCCGCGAATGACACGCGTCTGCGGCCAGCTCTCCTTCTAACTGCCTTGCCTTGTATGATTAGTTGAAGGATCCCATAATTTTTGGTGTTACGTAAAACGTGTCCGAAATACTGAAGTTTTCTTTTCTTAAGCGTCATAAACACTTCTTTGTTCTTCTCCATTTTGTCCAGCACCGATGTATTTTTTATGCGGTCTGTCCAAGATATTTTAATCAACCGTCTATAAACCCAGATCTTGAACGCTTCCAGTTTTTGACAATAGTCTCTGTCAGCGTCCAAGATTCTACGCACTTAACATCAGATGAGCCTCCAGCCCGATTGCTCCCTGTTTTATAAAAATTATAATGCTTTCTCTTAATCAACAATGCTTAAATCTAAATCTGACTATGTGTTTCGGTAAACCTTTATTATGGCCAATAACGAATACAGTTTAAATTCGCTTATCGCTTTGCGGTTGCTATTTTGAGATATCATATTATATCTTACGCCTAGCACATTTAATGAAACAAACGTGTTTTGACAGAATTAGAGGCCCCAGAAATCATGTATATGTAATATACATTTGATTATAGCTAAATTTTACCCTGTTTTTAGGTGGACCTGGTTATGGTGGCTACGAACCGGATGGTCCAATAGCACCAATAGGTCCGTCTGGTCCTATCGGTGGACAAATTGGACCCTTAGGTGGGCCGATCGGTGGACCAATCGGAGGACCGATCGGTGGACCGATCCGTCCACAGATCGGACAAAGGCCCTGGCAAGGATCCCGTTGTGAGGAAGAGAGCTTTAGACAAGTTGGACGACAACGTATGCAGAGACGATTTGTAAGGCGATTCACTACCGCACAATCGTTGGCTCAGTGCCAGCGCGAATGTATCGAGGCCAGGGACTTTATATGTCGGTCGTTCAACTTCAGGTTTGTAAACATATTTCGTAAGCTTTAGATAAGATAGTATCATATCCCTTTTTTATCGAAAACAAAGACGATATTCATTTGTAGGTTACATTATATTACTGAATTTATGATATTAATATTAATCTATTATACGATTATACAGTGTCGTAATAAATACCATTTGTCTTCATAATTCTTTGAACTTGAAACAAATAAACTGTTTTATTTTAAAACTAATTTTCAGGATTTTAGACGCCATCTTGAAAAGTACAATCAAACAAGCTTGCTGGCATTCTTTTAGACTATGGCTTGTTTATTACTGAATTTTTTTACTTTCATATTTAGTATAAAATATATGTCAAGAAATGTTCTTAAATATATTTTATGTATAGGGAAGGAGGCTTCGGTGTTGAACCACGCGATAACTGCGAGCTAAGTGATCGTGATACACGAGAGTTGGACGCGGCGAATCCTGCGCATTTCGACAATACCGCAAACGAATACGACTTCTATGAACGGGCATCGGGACGAATCGCTGACGATTGTTTAGATGGTAAGTATTTTCATTTACATACAACAAGCTTTGTACGAAACTATATCTATAGCTAGTCTCTGCGCCTCTGGAATCTAATTTGCTGTTGGAATTTACAGTACCGTGGTTGATTTTTAAATACGCAGTAAAATGCTATGCTTTGCGTAATTAGCAATATAGCTAATTGTAAAGACAAAACCTATTTTATTGCCTAATGTCTAAAGACAAACCTATTAACTTGAATTATTAATAATTTATGAGCAGTGGGGTGACTGGTCGAACTTGAATTCGTGTGTGCGGTGATGTTAGTTATTTCGACTATGTATTTGCGTGTTGTTCCCACGAGAATGTAAGTGCGTGCTCCTATTTCACCATGCCTCCCGCTGATAGAGGACAAATCTTTGTTTATAATTTATTTTCATGTGGAACATGGTGTAATGGTTGCAGTTCCTTACAAACAATTAGTAAAACAAAAAAGGGTGCGTGTACTTATGTACGCGCGTAAGAAGTTATACTTCTTTGGCATTATTAAAAATAGTTTTTGATTGCATGCAAATAATTAATTACAATTAAATAATCAAAGACTGGAAAAGGAGTCATTAAAGTCAATAAAGTTCAGTTTACATTTGAAAAATTAATTAAATAAATATTTATTATTATTCTCTTACATTAAACAAATAAAACACTATTTATCTTTAAAACATTTTTATTTCATTATACTATTTATTTTTAAGTGACTCTAATGTCTTCATCAGAATTTCGGTTTGTAATTTTAAATTAATCATTACTTGGTTGTGCATCTACGAGGCTTCTCCAAAACTACTTGCTTTCTGCAACAAATAAGAGAATATTAATTTAAGCTCTGTCCATGCAAAACTTAAAATTTTTTATAATTCATATTATAAATTTTTTAACACATTTATATTAATATAATTATATAAATGTGTTAATAATATAATTTGTAGCACATGCTACAGACCTGGATAGCAACTTTCTTTTATTCTATTTAGAGATAGAGATAATTTAAATATAATACCGGTGTCTTCCTTGTAGGTTTCTTTGGAGTTGTTTGGGGATTCTTGTTGTTCAGTTCGACATGATTTTCTTTAACCTTTCTTTAATCCTACAAAATAATGAAATTGTTAAGTTATGTTGTCACTGTTGTGCACACCTTTGTTTGGCTTTTTTAGTATTCAAGTTATGTCAAAACTGATTTATTACCTTGTCATTGTTGGCTTTATTTGCTTTTGGGATATCAATTGTTTCCAAAATGATTTTATTTGTAATAACCTGAAATATATAAATAACATCTATTAATTTAAGTATCATGGTGAGTGGTTCGCACTCAGGTATTAAGGTGTATTATACCCACTGTCCATTATAAGTGGGAATGGGCTCACTTCTGGCAGGACAGAGTTTCGGTACTACAAGTGCAACATGGATGTTTTGAGGTATTACAATATCTCTAACTACCCTGTAGGGGAATAAAGTAATGTTGTAAGCATATGCCTATGCTTGAAAGGTTGAACCTTGAACATCACCATACATCATATTTATAATTAACATTCCTACCTCGACACCATCACAATCAAATTCATTGAAATCTACTTCAAACCATTGTGTCTCGAGAAGGTGATGGTGGCTTTGTTCCACCTCCAGTTTTTGATGTTTCACGGCGATAAGATGACAACTCTTTTTTTGTATTCAATTTAGTGCACTTCCACTGATTCATCAATTGTTTTTTGTCTCTTGTCCTTATATTTGCTAGATTAAATCTGATGTTTTGATTAAATAATGTGGTCATTTTTTTGAGATGCAGGTACTTATTAAAATGTTTACTTCTCTGTTATATCGCTCCAAGCCTTCATTTTCTCCTTATTAGTATTCGTGCTTAAATCTTTGTTCTCAATTATTGATATATAGGGTCGTAGAATATTTCTAAAAAGTTGCTGTAACAAACGCAATAAACAAAAGCAATGAATAATGGTTCATGTTTCAGTTTTAATCAACAATAATACTCGATAATACATACGGATAGTTAACCTCAATTGTATTGAAGCACTCAGGAAGGTTAGCACAGTTTTTTCACAAATATTTTATATTATTTCACAAATATTTTGTATAATGAAAATAACTAGGTATATAATTATTAATTTTAAACAATAATTAAAACTCCTATATTTGTTTAAAAGGTAAATGTCATTGTCAGATGTCAATTGTCATGGTCATTCAAAATTCTTGTTAAGCTGCTAAGCTAGAATATGCGTGAAGTTAGCTTCACGCATATTCTATTTCTTTTACTTGTAGTTTGTCTTATTCCCATCTCGCTCGCGCACGCTATATCACACTGCCAATTTTGTGTCATAGGTGCGCGCGCAATCGTAAAATTTCACTCTCATCAATTTTTCATAACGCGCCTAAAGAAGTACAACTTCAAAAACTTGGCGATTAAAAAGAGTGGCGTAGAGAGGAGAGTTAAGTGCCAGTTCTTCTCGTCCCATCTACGTCCTTGATTTGAGAACTGGCAGTAAATGTTAAATAAGAAGCATTTAATATATATTTCTTTTTTGACGTTCATAAGTGTACATTGTGTTACCTATATGAATAAATGATTTTGATTGATTGATTTATTGTGGGTTAAATACTTAAGTTTGGCCATGTATATGTGGAATATACAAGGCAAACGGGGATGAACCGGGGAAATCGGGTTGGCTAGGCCTTGTCGTACATACCTGGACCGTAGAAGGTACTAGAGAAAGTACAAGTTAGTACTCATAACCGACGAGCATGTGTGGTGAATGTCATGATAGTGGATGAAGCGAGAGAGGTATCGTAGCACGTGGAGATTCGTGGTCTCTGCGTACCGGAGAGAAAAAGGCGTGAAAATATAAATAATTTATGAAACTTCAGTGCTTTATCTTGCAAAGAATGTTAAATAACTTAAATATAATTAATTTAAATAGATATGGAAAAACCAATAGTTTTTATTATCTTATTTATGTTTTGATAAACAAAGCTTGGGTGATGTAAGAATGAATTTATTGTCGCGTATTACATTTTTCGCGACACGTTTTAATACAATAGAGTGTTAAACTTAAAATTTATTGCTATCCCTGAATGGCACCAATGTATCTTTGTATTTAAATACGTAAATATTCTGGAATTACAGTAAAATCTTATTATTGAACCTTACGATATTATGTATTTTTATAACAATTATGTTTAGTTTATTTATCTATTAATTTTATACTGTCAAATTGTAAAAAAAATCTGCGATATGGAAATCGTTAATTGCGTCAGTGGAATAAATACTGTTTTCTTTTGTTTTTAATTTTTAGGTACGTGCCTCAGTCAAATCCAAAATATATACAGTGGGGAGTCAAACCTAGCATATCTGAGTTATATGCATTATATATAACCACGATTTAAATTCTTAAAAGGCATGCAACGCGCTTTTGAGCGCTATGGCAATGTAAGTGTCTTTGGGCGGCGGTATCACTTAACATCAGATAAGCCCTACCGTTTGCCCCCTGTTACATAAAAATAACACGAACGTGGAAAGCTTTTATATATATTTAATACAAAGTCTCTTCACAGACCTCGTTGATATATCAATCTAACTTACTTAAGACTAATAAGTAATTTAAGCAGAGGCGTAACTATACCATCTGGGGCCCGTGGCAAATTCTTTTGATGGGGACCTATCAGTAAAAATCGTCCCTACTCAGTTTAATTTTAATAAACTTCGAGATTTTCAGCGTACTCAATTACACGAAGTATATGTCCCACTAATGGCCATAGGCCTCCTCTCTTAGGCGAGAGGAAATGGTCTGTAGTCCCCAAGCTAGCCCAATGCGTATTGGAGACTTCACATTCATCCATAGAACATAAGATCTCTTGGGCAGGGGCCCTCTTGGTTCGGGGGCCCGTGGCATTTTGCCAGCCCTGCCACCCTATTGTTACGCCACTGAATTTAAGTCTAACTTAAAGTACTAAAAACGATATTTATCATAAGAAAGAGTCCACTAACACTACTCACAGTCTTTATTAAAGAGAAGACACTGTTCTTGTGTCCTTTTCTCCACTTAAAACGATCGTGCACTAATCTATATCTATACTTATATTATAAAGAGAATAGAATTGTAAGTATGTTTGTAACGAAATGGCTCAAAAAGTACTGGTAGTACAGCCCTGCGATTCTGTTACTCACTTTTCGAACTCACACAGCGGTTTTCGCATCGGCGGTCGCTCTCAAATCAGTCGTGAAGCAGTCATTTTATGATTTGGCATTCTGAAAAGGTGGGAGCTTGTAGTTTATTGTTTATCAGAATGCCAAATCATAAAAGGACTGCTTCACGACTGATTTGAGAGCGACCGCCGATGCGAAAACCGCTGTGTGAGTTCGAAAAGTGAGTAACAGAATCGCAAGGCTGGTTTTTAATTCAAAAATAAGGACCCCTACTAAAACTACTATAATTTACTTACCCAAGGTGTAAAAAAATCCTATAAAATATATTTCATGGCATGCGCTGCGAAAACTATTGATGATAGAACAAAAAAATGTTCCACAATATTAAAGAAGGTATCAATATCTACAAAAAATGTCGCGATAGCAAGTGTCTAACTGTGTGTGAATATAGCTTTAAATATTTTTTTCAGTATCCCAAGTATGTAATGAGGATGGCATGGAGTTCACATTACGTCTACCTGAAGGTTTCTTCGGCCGTATGTACACGTACGGTTTCTACGACCGGTGCTTCTTCAGAGGAAATGGTGGTGTTCAAAATGTTCTACGTATAACGGGCGCACACGGTTATCCGGAGTGCGGTACACAGCGGGTACGTGTTACTTTCCATATTATTTCACAATTATCTTTACAGTACCAGTGGCGCTACAACCTTTAATTACTTTAACCGACATTATCTGTTCTGTAATCATTTCTAATAGGCAAGTAGGTGATCAACCTTCGCTGCCGTCGACTTTTTGGGTCTAAGGCATGCCGGTTTTTTAACGATTGTCAAATGCGCACACAGACAAAGTCTATCGATGCACAGCACGGCTCGAATCTACGACCTCAGGTTAGAGAGTACCACGCTGAAGCCACAAGGCCACTGCTCTTATCTGTATATGTAATTATCATAAAACTAAATTATTATTTTTTAAACATATTAGATTGTATTCGTTTATTGCTGCCTAGGATATAGGTATTATTTATTTGGTAGATACTAACGCAGATACAAGTGAGCGGGTTTATTATGAAAGTATATGTAATCGAATGTCACTGTTTCTTAAACACAATAGTATAATATACATAGTATTGTCTTTTATTGACATAACCTTTATACAATTAAAGAAAAAACTTTTTTTTTTTCTTTAAACGATAGTATAATATAATATAATAATGTGGTAAGTTACATCTATTAATCTAATAAATACGATAGCATCTTTTTATTATAAAGAATTTTGATAACAGTACCTACTAATTTTTTAAATAGTTTCTATAGTAGTTACAAAAGAGTTATGTTTAATAATTTTGTGACAATTATTTAATTTGCCCACACAGTACGGAGACACAATGACAAACATCGTGGTGGTACAATTCAGTGATAACGTCCAAACATCACGTGACAAGCGGTTTAACCTTACATGTCTCTTCCGGGGTCCTGCCGAGGCAGTTGTTACATCTAATTACATTGGAGCAGGGTGAGTTTACAATCGGAGACTAGCTGAGCTTGGATCAGCACCTGATCCATAACTTCCAGCGTAGGGCTAACTGAAATCGTTATATCGTTGGGTATTAATGTACTGACGCAGGCTGTAGCGCGTTCTTTTGTTTTGTTCTTGAGTACCAGATAAAAATACGAATAATTATCATAATTGTTAATTTTTATTCCATACAATATAGGCACGCCGTCATCATGTACCAAGCCGGTATATTTAAAAGTATACATTTATAAAAAAAATATTTGTATTATTTCATAATACACGCGTTCGACTATATCTCAACTTAGAGACTTAGTGCTATTGCAAGTGCCCTATGTCAAAAATGTATCGTCTAAAAAAACAAATAAAGGCCGGCAACGTACTCGCGAGCCCTCTTGCATTGATTGTCCATGTCGGTATAGCTTATCATCAGATGAGCCTCCTGCCCGTTTGCCTCCTGTTCTATAAAAAAGTCTACCTCTCGTAGATTATGGTTTTTCCTTCATTACATTTTTTTTCTATTAAATAGATACCATATATCTTTAAAAGGGTATATTTTAATAAAGTGTAACTATTATCAAATCTAATAGTTAGAATGAAACTTCTTTGAGAGATTTTATTTAAAGAAATTACGCTGTAATTTCCAACGGCTATATCGACCGACGTTTTTGTTCGATGTTTTCTCAATATCTGCGCTGACGGCTACCTTGGAATCGCGCGGAACAAAAACTGATTATTAATTATTCGCTGTCGGTATCGCCATTGGAAGTAGCAAAAAATAGCGAAATGAGTGTTTGGCAAATGAACAAAAAACTCGATGTGCTCTCCTTTTTTATTACCGTAACAAAAATCATATAACTTTGCGTTTGTTGGTCTATATATTTGCTCAACATATCTAATTTTTAACAACTTTTTACACTCTAGCTTACTTCTAAATTGTTTGGGCAGGGGTTTAGCCTTTACCTTACCTTTTAATAATTGTTTTTTTTAGTTTATACGCCTAAAATGTTTGTTTGCGTGTGAGTTTGTTTACTGAAATTATATTGAAATGGGAATCTTTAAAGCTTTAATCTATTTAATTGCTTTTGTGAGTGCTGTTATTGAACTAACAGCTACTAACAACGACTTTGGATGATATCATTCGATATTTACATTGAATGGTTAATAATTGCATAGGTATTTGGAATTCTAATCGATGCCATTACTGCGACATAATAAAGCTATTCATAACATAATGTCGTCGCTATAAACTACTCGTTTGAGAAATGGCATTTGATATTGTCGTTAAACGAAATAACATGAATACTCAATCTTGTATTAATTAATTGTCTTAGAATGTACCATTTCTGCAATATCAACAATAACAAAATGATTTCATCCAAAGTCCCAAAACATCAATCGAATCCAATTTTAAAGTCTAACACAGTCTTGACAATGACATTGACAGGTCCGGGAGTCCCATTCCGATTGAATATCTTCCTGAGGAGAGTTCCCTGAATTCTAAGGTCCGATTGCTGATATTGTACCAAGGAAGACCAACAACTACCATCGCTGTGGGTGATCCATTAACATTTAGATTGGAGGCACAGGACGGATATAACTACGCGACAGACATCTTCGCAACTAATGTCATCGCCAGAGACCCATATTCGGGAAGATCGGTGCAACTCATTGATCGTGTGGGGTTAGTACTTCTTATAATAATAATAATAGGCTTTTATTTCTATCTCATTCTTTTTAGGTATCTGTGTGTCCTTTTCTGCCAAAAGCATCCTCAGCATCTATATAAAGAAATAAATAAGATAAATTTAATAATTATTATTTTTGTAGGATGAGATCCCAAGTGAAGCGTCTGTTTCATTAATCATTCTACGAATGTATCTATGAATTAATAAATGACACGAATGGCTTATCTGCATCTTCAGGACACTATGTCAAGAGGATTACTTCCTGTTTATTAGTCGGTATCGTTATCTGAAGAAGTTCTTATCAATACGGGATCATTAATGCAAGGACTTTTTGAAATATTTTCGAATGAAAACAAATTTTGCTTGTTTACTTTTGTAAAAGTCAGCTATCGTTATTTCTACTAAACATAATAAAATGTGTCATTGGAATTTGTGCTTTATAATGGGTTTTAAATAAAAGATTACAATGTTAGTTTGGTTTATAAAATCACTTTCATTATCCGTAAAGTTATCACGATTTTGTTCGTATTAACTTAGACTTAGAATACTGGTAGCTGGTCTCCGTTAAAAAAAAGTGATTCTAATCCATCCACCAACCTTTTAAGCCTTTATCATGTAGGTAGCCTTTATTTATTTCATGCGGAAATTGAGAAATATACAGTATTTACAACATTAAGAATGTTAATCTACATAGTAATAATAATAATGAATAATTGATAAATAGAAAAATTAAACAAATTTAAAAGTTTGGTCCCTTTAATACTGGCAGAATTTCCTCGCAGTTTACTTATTCTTATTTGTTGGGTGAGGAAAGCACCAGCTCTGGGGTCAACGGTACTATCTAGACGTCAACTTAAATCTTTAATAAGGGCCTGTGCACTTGAACTCCACGGCCCAAGAGTATCAAAGGGAACAAAAAACAATATTTACAACCCAACACAAAAAAAATTACACATTAAAGTTTAGTGTGTGGTTGAGTCTTTAGTGTAGGGTTGGACCTCCATCTTCGGTATAGGCATCCACCAGCTTATACTATTCACCTTTATTTTTTGAAACTTCCATCCATTACTTGCTCGCTACAGCTATCCTCTAACCAGCGTTTTTTAATTCGTGATAAATTATCCAGGGACTTAAACACACAACATTTGTATGACAATCCATGCAGCTGATTGGAATTCATTCATCTGAAAAGATAAAAGAAGGTTTAAAAAATTACATATATATTTTTCAGATGTCCGGTAGACCCAGATGTATTCCCGGAGTTGGATAAAGGAAGGAGCGGCGATTCACTCGAAGCCAGGTTTAATGCATTCAAAATACCCGAGTCAAACTTTTTGGTGTTCGAGGCAACTGTGCGAACCTGTCGTGATGGATGCCAGCCGGTAAGAAAAAAAAATTACGTGTTTCAAATTTAACTCTGTGGTACTCGTTATACATTTATTTAATCTAGTTAAATATGTGTTTGAGATTACATAAAAGTCAAAAGTCAAAATCATTTATTCGTATAGGTAACACAATGTAGGTACACTTATGAACGTCAAAAAAGAAATATATATTAACTGCTTCTAATTTTACATTTACTGCCAGTTCTCAAATTAAGGGCTTAGAACGGAAGAGAAGAACTGGCAATAAACTCTCCGCCACTCTTTAATCGCTACGTTTTTTGTTTTACACAATGTTTGTAAGGAGCTGCAACCATTACACCATGTTCCACATGACATAACTTTCCTAATGACATGTTTTACTACTTCATTGTTGTCGTTTCATGATGATTGTGTTCGCAGCTAACATTATCTTTGTTGCATTGTCTCTATTTATTTAGTTAATAAAGTTTTTAAAGTTATGACAATATTTCATTTTTCATACTTCAAAAGAGTTTGCCTTGTAAAAGTTTCTCAAGTTCCAATCATATTTTAAGAGCTGGCCCAACTGTCTAACTTTACAGCTAAATTGGCACATCTCATCGCTTTATCATCAGCTTTAAGTTTAAAATCACTACATAGTATAAAACAAAGTCTCTTTCTCTGTCCCTATATCCCTATGTATGCTTAAATCTTTAAAACTACGCAACGAATTTTGATGCGTTTTTGTTAAATAGATAAAGTGATTCAAGAGGAAGGTTTATATGTATAATAACAACCATTAAAGAGTGGAAAAATACTGTTATTTTTGAGGTTTCTAATGTGATGTCGTAAATAATATTTTTTTTTTGTGTGTTTATACATAGCGCGTCGGAGGCCGCGGTTCTCCCTATAGCACTTTGAATTTTGTATCAGCATTGCACCCGTGCGAAACCGGGGCTGGTCGCTAGACGTTCTATAAAACGGGCCTAGAGTCTTAGCTTTTTAATCATCATAAAGTTTGTCAGGTTTTCCAGCGCTTAAGATATCCTTTGATTAAATATTTACAAACAATACATAAGCGCACAGGAAACATAATATTATTACAAGTGTGACATTGATAATAAAGATGACGTCAATAGTAATGCTCTTTAATTATCAAGCACTAACTCGGGGTCAGGTCAATTATCTCGGATAAGCGGTCAACATGAACAAATACTTCTTTCTCAAAATAGACAGTATGACTCTGTTATTATGACTATGATAAAACATAGGCTAACTTAAGTTAATTCAATGATAAAAGTTAAATTTCCAAACAGAAATTAAACGAAATATGTCGTATATTACCGCTTCTAACGACATTGCACGAACATAGTGTAAAAATTACGTGCCGCCTGCGACTTTATCGCTAGGAAAATTGGATGAATTATTAATAAGAGTTGTAGACAGCCAAATTAAGTTTTAATTTTCAATTAGGATGTTAGTGAACATAAGAACCTTTACACTTTTATACTACGATATCAGGAGAGAATCCAATTTACAAATATAAGCAACACAAAAACAAATAAAAGACTACCGTCTGCGCATCAGACGCAGAGTCTGTAAATCGCTTGCCCCGGGGAACGGCCGTAAAAGCAAAATCTAGATGTTTTCAGGTAAAATAAAAGAAGGTAATGCTATTATTACTAGGATACTAATTAAATTACAAATACAAATATATTTATGAAATGAAAGCTAATTTGCATGGTTGTAGCTACCTATTTCAGGAAAGTAAATGTAGGTATAGATACCGGCAAACATCTTGAAAAAATGTTCTTACCTGCGCAGAAGCGATTTTTGCTGGTGCGCTGAGGCGGGAGAGTGACGTGTCTATCGCGTGATTGGTAAATCAGTTTGTACGATGCGCAAACTTTCCCCCACTCCCTTGTTTAATACTCAAGAAGTTTGCCGGTATCTATACCTAAATAATATTACTAACATTATCCACAAAATAATTTCCGTAGAATAAAGACTTCCTCGTGTTTTGTTATAATAAAACGTTTTAAAAAATTCTGAAAAAATACAATTATAGTACATCACCTGAGGATGTATAAAATGAGCAAAACATTAAACAGTCGTAATAGTGCTTTACGACTTTGTTCCCTGCAAAATAATCAGCCTTCTGTTAGTCATACAACTTTTTATTAATGAAAATTATATTATTACGACTGGAATTGAAGCCTTCCCTTCATAATGCGTCATATATTAACAGTTCCCTAGTTAGTCCAAGAGGAAAGTATAGTTATAATTATCAATTTTATTACTCAAGTTCTATTGTAATGATTTTCTCAGGCATACTGTCCAAATCAAGCCGGGCGTACTGAACCGTCATTTGGCCGACGTAGACGAGATGTCAACTCCACGATAATTCCTGAGACAAACACTACGGATACGGAAGAAACAACCACCAACAAGTCCGAAGATACAGTCTTTAAGATATCATACGAACAAGCAACAGTTGATAAGTATTTGAAGAATGAAGTTGAGACGCCCAGCCATGTGAGGAAAATGATCGAGGTATTTATTACTTTAAATAACAAACTGCAGTTATATATGTAGAGGCAGAGGTTTGGGTTTGGCTAAACAATTATTGTTTTTCCGGGAATCGAATACAGAAACACAAGATCTAAGCATATTATCAACATATTTTCTTAAAGAGAACAGTTGAGATTTTTGTTCTATATTTTAACTAGCAGACCGTTGCTGTGGCTAAGGTTTTAGTTATATTACATAGTAGTAACCTATTCAAGGGAAACGGTAGGAGAACACCAGTCATGGGGATCACCGTGCATTTTTGGTGGTAATGCCATTAAATTGTAGCTTACCTATGTGAAACGTTGGTACTTTCAACACAGCGCCATCTGTTAAAATTGTGACTATCAAATAATAAACAAATATTTTGCAATAAAGTAATAAAGCGGGTATAAATCGAGATGTAAGCTATCCTATCTTATAAGTTAGATCAAACTGCACACGGTGTGCAAATTTGAATGAAATCGGTTCGGTAGTTTAGGAGTCCATAGCGGACAAACAACGTGACACGTAATTTATATATATTAAGATTTAATAAATTTAATTGTAGAATAACATAATTTATAAGAAACTTAAGTATATATTCAATGACACTCCCCACATATCACCCTATTGTTTCAGTAACACGTTCATTAAACAAAAATGTATTGTTAATAGGTTAATAAATATACATAATTATGTGAAACACGTGCATAACACGTGATAGTTCACGCGATGCACATTCTATAAACAAATGGTTTTATGATAATATGTTATGTCCATTGCAACTAGATAACATTCGTACTATTATAGGATATGGTATTGTGGGATATTCGATACATAGATTTGGTAGACTAGAAAAACGACACGCAGTTTGACCGGCTGTAGCCTGGGCTTCTGCTGTCGCCGAAATAAAACATCTTTAGGAAACCCAAAAATCGTGCAACCTATGTCGTATAAAATAAACCAACTCAAATGTGTCACTCCACACTCCACTAATCAAACACTGATCACGAGAATCAAGAAATACAAACAGAAATCTGATAAGGCCACATGTTTTTGCTTAGAAAATTTAAACCAGTGTAGCAAGAGCAGGTTTTTTAATCGAGATTTGATCTTATTTGGTTTGGATTTATCAAGTTACGTTTGACTGTACTGTTGCTAGCGGAAACGATATCTTTCCAAGAATCATGTTATTTACAGATTTATAAGTTTTAGAAAATTTAACACTTTATAATGATAATGTGTAGTTTATTAATTTAATAGGTTTTCGTTTCATACTTGATTGTTAAATTCGAGTAAGTATATCCTATTAAATCACTGCCCACCATAGCTCTCTGATTGATTAAATATAGTAGGTACTCAAAATTTATTAGCTTTTAGTGATATTTTTTGACGAAAGTCAGTTTGCGCTTCATAATACCGTTACAGGTCTTACCAAGATATCCTAGTTTGTATTTGTAACATGATCCTAACAATATCGTAGGTATTTGACAACCGCAACGAGTTGATAGAGGAGAATGGTCAGGCAGACTCGGCCCCTGTCGTCGCTGAAGCAGGTGTTTGCGTGTCTCCACAGCACTACAGAGCTTTATTGCTGGCATTGTGCTCATTGCTCGCTTTGCTCCTGGCTATGTTGATTGCAGCTCTGTATATATACAAGTAAGTCCTGATGTTAAATTTTATGGCATTTTTATCAAGTTTATATTTGGATTTGAACATAGCAAGCGAACGGCAACTGGGTTAGTATATGTTTAAATGTATGTAAAACTTAAAGGGTATTAAATGATATTTGTCTTCTCACAGAGAAAACATATTAAGGAGAGTCATGAATAAAATTCAAATAACCAAATTCTTCAATTTTTATGAAATTATATTAATGTTTTTTATTAATTTTCATATTAAATAAAATATCTGTACCACCGACTCACTAGTCTAGTTACTTAACAATTGCACTTACCGAAGGCGGAAGGGTGATATTTAGAAACAAGAAAGCGCTAATTCTAATTCCTGTACGTCAAAAATGACTTTGACATAATATGAGAGTCATAGTTCGCGCCAAGTCTCGTTTCTAAATCTCACCCTTATATCGTATTCCAAACATTTCAGGCGTTACTGGCGCGTACTTCGTAAGAACATATCGGCTGCAGCACCTCCTATATCGCGTCCGGCTGCCCCGGGACCGAGACCAACTCGTCCATCATTATTCTCTGCTTCACACTTACATAAACCGTTCTCTTTAAGGTAAAGTGAGCGAAATAAGCTAGTGATTTATTTTGGATTAATAAATAACGCCTGAAATAAAATAATGGCAAGGTTGTGTCAGATTTAGTTACTACATTAATAACTTATAGTTTCAATATCTATCATTGTCTGGTCATTCAACCCTCTTAAATATAACACAATAAATAATGCGTGAATAATGCTAGGCATCACATATTTTTTTTAAATAAGGGGCATTTATTTGGATAATTTATTAAATAACCCTCTCTCTTACAGCGGATTAGGCAGAAATTTCACTGAAATTGGCGAAGAGGCGGGCTCGTCGGGACGTTTGGCGAACACTTTTGATGATGGAAGTGAACCAATTTATACTGACCCCTCACTGTTCGAACGATCTAGGTCTCTACGGTCCCTTCACTCATTGGATCTGAAACCTGACCGAAGAGAGCATCGTGCTTAATTATTAATTACACTATAGGCCACTACATACAAAATATTATTCAGTCTTTTATGGCAGTCGACATTTATTAAGTTCTTTCTTAAAGGAAAAGTGTTTTTATGTATATGTTTAATTTTTCAATTGCTAAAGCGTTTAATAAGTTATAAGAGTACCTATGTGAATTTTTTTCCATGTAAGTTTAGTTAAAATCACAATTATTCAAATTATAATGAAAATTTATTAACTTTCTCACAATACTGCCGATCAGTAGTAGTGGCCTTAAAATTATTTTAATTGCATTTACAAAACTTAACTGCCCATACCTGCTCAGATTTTCTTTAAAAAGTCACAAGATGGATAACATTTTTAATACATTAATGTTTAAAATTGTAAGTCAGTACTAATAAATATAATAAAGAATATACCTACTATGTATTATTTGTGAACCTTATTTCACATTCCTCGATCTTAAATTTTATTACATTTTTTTTGAATGAAGAATAATTATACACATTATGTTGTAACTAAAAAATAAACTAGAATAAAATCATAATTGGATTTATTGAGATAATGTTACATATGATATGGAGATGGGCTTGGCATAGGCACACTCAATAATGGGGAATCTAAATAATCCATCTCAGTAGCACTAGGTGCTGGTTCTACTTGAGTAGTTAGCTTTTGCTGTAGTGATTCATAAACTTTGTGAACTGCTTCATTGTGTTGTGTTCCTGGCTGTAAAGCTTTCATCAATGTATGTATTCTAGTCTCTGGTAATTTGGGGTGAATATACCAAATTAATTTTAATAAGTGTCTAGTCACATTGTCTTTAGATAGACCAGCAAAAAAGAATTCATCAAACAATACAGTACTGAAGTCTTCTCCTTGAAATTCATCCGGAAACTGTATTAAAAGGGCAACTAGTTGATGTAAGAAAGGGTCAGAATAGGCCAGCCCATTTTTACAACTACCAAGTATGCTAAGTATCCTGAGCAATGCGCCTCGGTCTTTTGTTTTTGCTGCATGTAGTGTGTAATACATTGCTAGAACACTGCATACTACACTTTCCCTCATATAAGCTTCACAGGCATCTGGAGGTGGACCAGAATGCTCTATAGTAGTTATAGCAGACTCTCTCTCGTCTGGTGGCAGTTTATTATGCAATGCTCGGACTTGATCATCCACCATTAAAGACATTAATGCCGGTAAATATTTTGTTACCACTTGACTGTCAAGTTTAGGTTCTTTAAATTGTTGGGTGTTAATTATATCCCATGAACCTAATCCTAGTGCTGACATTCTCAGCAATAGTATCAATATTGAATTATCTCTAGGCAGGCCCTCTGTGTTGATCAAGTGGTGTAGTATTTTTATAGCAGATGTTGCTAAGAAGTTAACAGCATATGGGTCACATAAGGTCATAGACAGGTCTCCTAATATTTGCTCTGTTCCTTTCTTAACCCCATCTAAGAAACCTTGTAGCTCTCTTGATCTCTTAATATCTACATTTCTCTCTCTGATACATGCATCTAAACACCATGTAAATTTATGACAAGGATCTGCAGAAATTATTGGATGAACTTCTGCATCATGTAAAGTCATAAGCAGTTCAGCTCGTAATGTACAGTAATGAATATTCTTAGTTCTCAGAAAAAGTGTACGCAGAAACTGTAGAACCATATCATAGAGTTTTACACTTGTGCCAACCATATGGGCAAGCTTTTGAACAACATTACCCTGTCTTCTTAATTTTGGAGATGATGAAAAGAATAGTTGTGACATGTTTTCATGATCAAATAAAACATTTTCTTTTTCTCTTATATATAAACTGAGCAAAGGAGAAACTTCATCACCAAACAAAGATTGGTTGTCTTGCCAAATCTGTCTTTTTACTTCCGTGTCAGTATCATTGTATAATTCCCGGTCACGGACCAAAACTTTTAAATATTTGTCGTCAATATGGGGTATATTTTTCAAAATGCTCATAATGACAGGCCTTAAAGCTTTAATTTTGATAATCGGAAAACTTTTGGCCAGCAGCTCCTTAAGCTTTTTTTCGTTACCTTTACCATCTTTTTTTCCGAGTTTATTTATATGCTCTATCATCTTTTCTCTTAATTCCTCCAGCACAGAAGTATGAAAATCTAAGCGACGAACTCCATGTAGGTCAAGAAGGGGTAACATAGGTCTAAGAGATGGTAATAAAATACCATTTTCCAATTGAAACTCTTCTATAGCTTTCAGGGGATCGGTACAACTGGTGAGTGCGTCTCTCAAGAAATTCTGTCCAGGCACGCTGACATCATCTAAACCAGTGCCGAGAAATTTGTTAGACGAAGCCATATTAGTACGGAGATGTATCATGTAATAATACACATTAATGTAATTCCTTTGCCTTACAGTAAATATTATACCACCATTATATCATATTTAATGCATTAACTTAAAATAGTTAAAATAGAAACTTAAAAATATTATAACAAAAGTTGTATGTTTACAGTTTACTCCACAGTCCACATCACTAGGCTAAAGGATGACACTTGACAACATATAGAAATCAGATGCCTCAAGTGACAATTGACAGTTGAATTAGGCTTGGCGGTCTTGGTAGTGATGTGTAGGTGTCGATACACTGGAGTGCTCGGCCCACCTTTTTAGATGTCATTCGCAATTTCACCATCTTTGTTATGTCAGACAGTTGTCCTGTTCTCTCAAGGTTCACTTTATTGTAGAAAAGTCGACGATCCTTGATTTTGCGCAGATGTTTCACGTATCCCTGCTCGCTTGTCATATTTTGATTTCTAGGAACTTTTTGTCTTCTATTCTGGGTTTTTTATAACGGGCCCTGTTTTTTCGAGAGTTCCTCTGCAGTGTCTTAAAGTATGCGACATATTTATATCCAGTCACAGCTCTATACTCTACGACAAACCATTATTTCCTTCTCTCACTATTTGTCATCTCTTTTACCGATTGTCTTAGAGGCTGCAGTTCGAATTGCTTTACTACACTCCCGCCAGATTTCTGTTGGGCAGATATGTTATATATATGTTATTTGAAATAACTACAAATAAAATTTTAAAATATAAATGTCACAATTTTATGCGTTTTTATTGGATTTGTTGATTTTTTAATATTAGTTCTGTCTTAATGTCTAATATAAATAATAGTTAGTCTAAATCGGATCGAGCGTAATAAGAATTCATCACACCATTAAAGCAACTATAATCTGGGGTACTGGTGCAATCTACAGAGTGCAGACTACAGAGTACTAAGTCGCTTTGTAGACTGTAGTTTCTGTTCTGTACATATTTACCTACTATTAGTACATATACAATTTGTGAAATTGTGTTTTATATTTATTTACAATAGGTATTAGGTATGTCTAAAATTTTGTGGTTGATTGTTGTTGGATAATAATAATTTTACAATTCTTTTTTACACCTTTTAGATTTTCTTAAATCTACAAGACATTACCGGTCGGGACTACGGCAGTTAGTGAAAATATAATGTCTGAGAAGCAAAAAACGTGAGTATTTACTTTTTGTCAAACATATTAAATATATATATAACAATATATCTTAAATTAAAATAATTGTATTATTACTTTTCAGGCTATTTTGCGGAGATGTCAATGGAAATTTCAATGCATTATTTTCCCGCGTTGAAACAATTGTCAAGAAATCAGGTTCATTCGATGTTCTATTATGTGTGGGAAATTTTTTCGGTAACGATAATTCACAGTTAGATGCTTACCGTATGAGGACCAGGAAAGGTATGTAATCTTTAGTGCAATAATAGCATCATTTACTGCATGCACAGTTATTAGAGTATTGTAGTTACTGTCAAATTTTTTTTAATAGGTAGTGTTTACCATATAAAATATGATTTAAGATTTAATTTCTACGAAAATCTGCAACCTCTTATCTTAATTTCATGGTTATTCAGCCATTTCACACATGTGCTGATTAGAGAGGTAATTGGAAAGGGTGGTGGGCAAAGTCACTCAATACAGGAGGGCACACAAGTGTGAGCTATTTGCCCCAACTCTCTGTGTGACTGCATGTACTGTTAGATAATATCATATTATATTTTCAGTTCCGGTTACAACCTACGTTTTTGGCCCAAGTGATGTTAACCATGTCAAGTATTATTGTGAAGAAGGATCTGAAATTGTCCCTAATGTTATTTACATGGGTATCTATAAATTATATTGAATTATTCCTATTTTACATTATATAGAAATATTAGAATGAAATAACATCATAAATCACCACCATACAAATATTGTTATGATCAAACAGCAAATATAAAAATGAATGAATGAAATATGTGACATGATGATAGTGATAATTGTTTACATTGTCACAATCATATAATTTTTAGGTACTTTGACATACTAAAAGCTCATTTAAATTAATTAAATAAATAGTTACATAAAATAGGAAAGGAGTGACGGGTAGACCGTGAAACAACTCGTATCGTGTCCCAAATTCTTTGTATTTTTAAAATCATACAAGTACTAATATCGTTTCAAAAGGACAAAAAGTGGTGTAATATTACAAGATAAAATAGTGTAAATGTTATTCCGACCAGGAACATTGTAAAAGCATTAGTAATTCCCAAAATCACAACGCTTTAACCGAGTGACGTTTGTAGGTAATTTGTGTTGACAAGAATACCCTAAAGTGCATGAATTGTGTAGTGCTCAACATATCAACAAAGAACAACACTAAAGTGAAATAGTGAAACAGTGAAGTAGTGTGAAGTAAACTAATTTGTGCAAGAAGTAACGGTACACGTGTCTTGGTATAACTCTGACTCATTTAGTGTCGGTGACGCATGTAACCTGAACAACATTTTCAACCAAATACAGTACAGACGTTTGGTCAATCGGTTAAGTTCCGCCACATCACTCATAGGAAACGAGTTCAAACCTCAGTAGAGAAAAATATTATTAGATTTTTTAAAAATTTATAAAAGCTAAATCAAAATTCAATTTATCATTTTAAATAAGATAATCACACAGGGACACATACTTCATAATAAAAACATTTGTCAATAGAGGGCAGTGTCCGCAAGATTGTTTTCGTAAATGCGAAAATAAGCATACCAGAGCGCAAAACAAATATAACATAGAAAAAAATAATAATAATTCAACCGGTGATACCAACTACCAGCCAGTGCTGCTAACTAGTGTTGCCAACTAAAAATAGATTTTACACACACGTATTAACGCTAACTCACAGCCATGGAGAAACAGCTGGCACGTCTACTAGAAAAAATAATGGAAATTGACGAGAAGCTGAATAAAAACAAAAAGGATACTAGGGACGAATTTCGTGAGCAAACAACTGCCCTCACCAAAAGCCTTACCCAAAGTATGGCGTCGACAATAGAAGAAAAACTGAAACCGTTGGTAGAAGAGAATAAAAAACTTAAAAACGATGTGGCAATTATGAAGAATAAGATGCAAAATCTGGAGAGAGAAGTCAGAAAAAATAATTTAATACTCCACGGAGTAGAGGAAAACGAAAGCAATAATGCAGAACTCCTACAACTGGTCCTGAAGGTCCTTAATGAGGTGGGTAAAGATTGCACGCTGGACAACTTTGATAAATGGGAAATAAGTGAAGCTCGTAGACTTGGCTCTAAAGTTGACCAGAAACGCAGGCCTATTCTCATAAAGTTTACTCTAGCATGGAGAAAAATAGAAATCTTAAAAAACAACAAAAGATTCCCTGCAAACATATACGTGTCTGAAGACTACCCCAAAGAAGTACTGCAGAAGAGAAAAGAATTAAAGTCCCTACAACAAGAAGAAAGAAAGAAAGGAAATCTGGCCCTCATCCGATATGATCGACTCATAATAAAGGAAACTGAGTTGAGAAACTCAACCAAGGCAAATGAGAAAAGGAAGCGCTCACCATCTAAAACACCAACGCAATCTGACTGCTATGAAGGTACAAGGCAGACGGCGCCAAAGAAAGTGATTGTAACCAATGCATTTGAAAAAATGACACGCCACAGACCAAATTCTATTTCTGAAACACAAACCAATAACAATTAGTACACAGCGGTCCCCGGAATCAAAACAAAAATAAAACCAAAGAACAGATACAAACAACCAACAAAAAATACCTTTCCCCAAGCCGGACAGCGGTCTCCGTGGGGAAACACGACCGCAACCCTCCAGCTAACCCTCGAGAGAAATCTCTAAAACTTACATTGAAACAATCGAACCAGCCAAAACCCAACCTACCAAAACCAAACCTACCAAAACCCAACCTACCAAAGTCCAGAGAGAGCCAAAGCAACGAAGTCAAATAAACAACAATATTTATATCGGCACGCTCAACGTACTAACACTAAGAACATGCGATCGACTTATGGAACTGGAAGAGGCGCTCAAGAACATTAAGGGATAGGAAGGAATGGAAACAGCTGGAGGAGGCCTTTGTGCCACAAAGGCAAGCTATACAAGAGGACAGCTGTGCTTGTTGAACTTTTTTTAATATAAATTTATATTTTGTTCTCTTGTATTAGTTGAAAATAAAGGCTTTGAAATTGAAATTAATTAAATAAATAGTTACATGTCACCCATGGTTTTCTACATAAATAATTATAAATATTATAGGAAGACGAGGCATATTTACCACAAGTTCAGAAGTTAAGATTGCCTACTTAACAGGCCTGTCTAGACGAGAATTAGGAAAGGAGATCCCATCATGTACATTTGAGCCAAGTGACTGCAGTGCAGTGAGAGATGCATGTTATAGAGGACAAAGTGAATATAGAGGTGTGGACATACTTATAACTACTTTATGGCCCACTGGCGTACAACAGGATGAATGCCAGAAGGTATTTATTAGTTTAATTCTTATTAGAAAACTCAAAATTATATTTTTACTAAGTTTGCATAAACTTAATATTAACTTTAATGCTGTTACATGAAGACCTATTAAGAAACAATTTTGTAAAGTTATTTTTCATTAATATATTATTTTAACAATTTTTCAAGGCAGAAGTGAATGAAGATAAGCTATCAAATTTAATAGCATGGCTATCAATACATCTTAAACCTAGATATCATTTAGTGCCAACAGCAAACAAGTTTTACGAAAGACAACCTTATAGGTAAGTGTACTAGAAATTTATGATGTTACTTATTTTTGTAACAAAAGTTTCTTGAGTTAAAAATGCTGTTTGTTTATGAATAGTGTAGACCATTTCAAGTTGTGCCACAGAAATGCGTCACTAAAATAAACTTTAAATCTCATATAAATTAATTATTGAGTGGTGTGTCTACTCAGCACAACAAGGGTTTATTCTTTCTATGTGAATAATTGACACAAGTATTCCCATGGATATGTCTACTTTCTGGCACCATTTAGTCTAGTCTGGATGATTACTTAGAATTTGATTGTTAATTAAATAAAGTAGTCATTAAAAAAACCTGTAGTATTAACATAAGAGGTTTAATAATTTATTTTTATTTTTTGATCTATGAATTATTGATTAAAGCTTGGTAATTTGGAATAAATATTACTCTTTACTATGATTTTTCATTCCATTGAATTCTGGCAGCTATCATTCTTTGAGATGTCAGAGATGGCAAACTTTTTTGGCCAGGGGCACATTGTTTAATTTCAATACGAGTCTGAACATCTGAGTCTACTCTATACATACATTTTATTTTTTAGTGAATGCATGCATTTTATTAAGTGCGGTGCTCCACATTATAGTTACGCTTATATTAGTTTTTTAAACATTTCAGAAACCAAGGAATCCATCAAGACTATAAAGAATGTGCAACAAGGTTCATAGCATTAGCCCCAGTAGGAAGCAAAGCTAAGGAAAAATGGATTTATGCGTGCAGTTTGCAACCGATTGCTAAAATGAGGATGACAGATTTATTGCAAAGTACCACGGATGAGACAGAGTGTCCGTTTGACCCTGACTTGTTGAAACAACACCAACCCGGGAAAGTTGTTAAGGTAATTAAGTAAATTTTATTTGGAATAAATTCGTTCATCTTGATTTTTTGAAATAATTGAGCTATGAAAGTCAACTGCATGAATGGGAGAAATGGTGGGTCGGTTACTGTTGGCCCTCCTAACAAAATTTTATTAGCATATATTATTAAAAAAAAAAAAAATCTCTTATCTACTGTTTCTTTGGGTTTCAACTGGAGTTAGAGTGGTTATATTTATTTATTTCGTAATCTACAACTAACTTAAGTTATAACAAAAAACAATAATACTAAAGATGGAATACATAATAATGTATAGAAAAAGGTTCAAAAATTTATAAAAGGAAAAAATCTATAAAATTTATTCCATACAATCAACTAAGTAATACTTAATTTGGTTGTGTTGTGTGATGGTGTAAATGGTTATATATGGGAGGGTGTGCTCATGATGCAGTTGATTTAGATTTGTTTTAAGCGCGTGTTATAGATGTTTTAAAATGTGCCTTATATGTTAATTATATAACTTCATAAACGCCCCTATTTGTATACTCAAAAAGCGTGACACAAGCCAGATATTTCAATATAATTTATCTTATTGTTATTTCTGACGATTGATTTTCGATATATCAATTTCATGTTGCGCTCAAATTAATTGAATTTCTTAATTAGCTTATAATTACCATCTGTATTGCTATCTGGGGCCATTCAGAAGAGCTGGTGGTTCTAAACTTAGGTAGAATTAGATTGTGATTAGACATATTTTTACCTATTTACTGGTAACTCCATTTAAAATAATTGTTTTAGGTATCCGGTAATGGACAGTTCTTCTTCAACATGGACGCTTCGGAAGACGATCACGGGAAGAGAAAGAGGTCAGGTGGAGATAATGCCGAGAGGAAACGGAGGGATATTGATCCAGGTATAAACTACTACTTTTAGATAATTTAATGAAAATTTAAAAAAAAAATCACGTTCATACATTTAATGCGTATTTTATAATCTCTCTCTCTCTGATTGAGGTCTCTAATATTTGTGTATGTCTTATCTAGACACATGCTGGTTCTGTTTGTCGTCTCCGTCGGTGGAGAAGCACTTGGTGATCTGCGTGGGCAGGCACTGCTACTTGGCCCTGCCCAAAGGCCCACTCACGCCCTTCCACGTGCTGATCCTGCCCATTGCCCATCATCAGTCTGTTACGAAGGTGGGTTTTATAGTTTTACATATATATATATATATATTCGCTCGAACGGTGAAGGAAAACATCGTGAGGAAACCGACATGTCTTAGACCCAAAAAGTCGACGGCGTGTGTCAGGCACTGGAGGCTGATCACCTTCTTGCCTATTTGATTTAAAAATGATCATGAAAATGATTCAGAAATCTCAGCGCCACAGAATTATTGTTTATTTTTATTCTGTAAAATATATATAAAAAAAGTTTTGCCACATAGAAATATATAATTTTCCAGTCACCAGAGGAAGTTGTCAAGGAAATTAAACAGTTCAAAGATACGCTTAAGAAGTTCTACGGCTGCATGAACAACGTGGGCGTGTTCTTCGAAAGGAATTACAAGACGTCTCACATGCAGATTCAATGCGTGCCCCTCCCTAAACGATGCGAATCGCAAATACTTGAGGTGTTTCAGGTAAAATTCATTTGGATTTTCGTAATTTTTCCGTGAAATTTAAGTTTTTTTTTAATTATCACTTTTCAGGCATATAAGGGAGCGTTCTAGTATTATGTAACGAATTTAGGGAGGGTCCTTTTGTAAAGCGTTACGACGCGGGGTGGGGATTGAATTACGCGTTATTGTTAATATTATTTTCGACTTTCCAGTACTTTACACTACATAATGGTAACTTTTAGGTTTAAAGAGTCACTGGGTGGTCACGAAACGTTTTACTGTACTTGGGTACAGAAAAACGTTACGGCGCGTTACATGGGGGGTGTCAATAATCTCCAAAAATTGCGTGACGTAATACTTGAACGCTCCCTAATACAATACATTATTACTGCGATTGAAAAATAAAAAAATTGTACTCTATATTAATATTATAAATTGTATCTATGTTAATGTAATGAAGATTTTTCTACCAAAACAACCTCAGTAGATATGGGTTAGAAGTAGTAGCTACCACTTTTTAAATTATTGTCAAGACCTGCTTTTGTATTTATAATAATTACATACTTAGCATGTTATTATCACTTAAGTTCTAGACTAACAACATTCGAATAATAATAGAATTTATGTTACACTTAATGTAAGAGAATAATAATAAATATTTATTTATTTAATTTTTCAAATGTAAACTGAACTTTATTGACTATAATGACTCCTTTTCCAGTCTTTGATTATTTAATTGTAATTAATTATTTGCATGCAATCAAAAACTATTTTTAATAATGCCAAAGAAGTATAACTTCTTAGGCACGTCCATAAGTACACGTACCCTTTTTTATTTAATTAATTTAATTTATAACTAGGCATCGTACATATTTTAATTAATAAATGTTGTTTCGAACAAGTATTGGAAAGCAATTTAATATAACATTTTCGTATTTTCTTAAGTTATTATTTACTTTGAATAATAATTAAAGTGTTAAATCTGTTTTAAAAAAATTGATTTTAGGATGAGGCAGGCATAAATCGTATAGAACTGGAAGTTCTTCCGCCCTATACGGAGATATCTCAAGTGGCTTTGCCCGGAAGTCCATATTTCCACGCGGAGCTTCCTTCCGGCGAACACGTGTATGCCAAACCGAAGCAGCACTTTCCGTTGCAGTTTGGAAGGTAATTAATATAATTTAAAAAATATTGCACACACGTCTTTTACACAAAAATTTCAAATTTTAAATAGTTTGTAATCTAATCAGTAAAAAAAATTGTGAATTTATTATCGTATCCACTGAACACACCCAGACAATTTAATCAACATCGGTTCAGGCAGTTTATCTATTTATTAGTATATACGTACAGAAGATATATGTAATATATAATGGTAGTAATTTAAAGAACTGAAATAAAAACATATCATAGCGATGTTAGACATGATGAGTCCCAGAAATTCGTGGATAACTCCAAAACCACTGAACTGATTTGAATGCAACGGGCTATTTCTTGAAATATACTTGATGTAACGTAAGAAATATATATATATTAGGTCCTTACATATGAAATTGGCGTTTTACGTTTTGGCCACTTTGTCCTCAAATATCTCCTCTTTGGTTAAGAATTCCAAATTAAAATTTGTACAGCTATTTACTCATGTATTTGTGCTTCGATGACCGTCATTCATTTGTTTTTTTTCTTCTGTTTTTTTCTGTTTGCGTCACTCATTTTACAAAATGGAAAACTAAAAGTATCGCATTATTTACGAGTACGAGTTCCGCCGTGGCACTAGTGCTGCGGAAACGACTCGAAGGTTGAATGATGTGTATGGCGGTCATGTTGCAAAAGAAAACACAGTTCGTTTTTGGTTCCAACGTTTTCGTTCTGGAAATTTCGACCTGCAGAACAAGCCCCGTGGACGGCCTGAGACCCAAGTTGATAATGAAGTATTGAAGGCTATTGTGGAAGCGGATCCATCGCAAACCACGTCCGAATTAGCTGCAGGCTGCGGTGTTAGTGATAAAACAGTTTTAATTCACTTGAAGGAAATTGGGAAGATTAAAAAGCTTGAAAGATGGGTACCTCACGAATTGACTGAAGCAAACCGGCAAACGCGCGTCGACTGCTGCGTTACATTACTGAACCGGCACAATAATGAAGGTATTTTAAACCGAATCATTACCTGTGATGAAAAATGGATTCTTTACGATAATCGAAAGCGCTCAGCGCAATGGTTGGATCCTGGCCAGCCAGCCAAATCCTGCCCCAAGCGAAAATTAACCCCAAAAAAGTTACTTGTAAGCGTTTGGTGGACTAGTGCCGGTATTGTTCATTGCAGTTTTCTCAAATCTGGCCAGACTATTACGGCTGATGTCTATTGTCAGCAATTGCAAACCATGATGGAAAAGCTAGCGGCTAAACAACCTAGGCTGGTCAATCGCTCCACGCCACTGCTACTTCACGACAACGCTAGACCACACACTGCACAACAGGCGGCTACCAAATTAGAAGAGCTTCAATTGGAATGTCTAAGACATCCTCCGTACTCCCCGGACCTTGCTCCAACAGATTACCATTTTTTTCGAAATTTGGACAACTTCTTGCAAGGGAAAAAATTTTACTCTGATGGGGAAGTCCAAATCGCCTTCACAGATTTTATTGATTCCCGTCCGACTGGTTTTTTTAGTAAAGGGATCAATGAACTACCTATGAGATGGCAAAAGTGCATCGAAAACAATGGTTCATACTTTGATTAATTAAATATATTATATTTAAAAATATTCGACTTTTTGTTCCTCCCATACAAAACGCCAATTTCATATGTAAGGACCTAATATATATATAAAATTAATAAATTAAATTAAGATTTGAGAAAACCAACTTTTATAATGATATTTTTTCATCTATCCGACTGACTTTGCACAATTATAGGGACGTGCTATCAAGCCCCCCTCTATTGGACTGTGAGGATAAAGCAGACTGGCGTCAATGTCTTCTAAGTAGAGAGGAAGAAGACTCTCTTGTGGCCTCCTTCAGGGAGAAGTTCAGACCATTTGACTTCACGGCAGATGAGGACAGTGATAGTGACTAAGTTTGGTTTTTAGTTACTGTACATATCTGAAGTTTTAAATAAATGAACTAGCAGATTATTATTTTACCTAATTATATTGCAGCCGGGATTTGTTTGAATCAAAATGTAATAATTTAAGTTTAACCTTTATTAAGAAAATTTTAGATTTTTATTTCACCGAACTGATTGTATTGTATATAACTGATTAAATGCTTTTAATAAAAGAGTTTTTTTAAACCCTTAAACCCTAACCCCTTTTAGACGCCTCATTGGTTTAGTGGTTAGTACCCCTGACTGCGAATCCATGGGTCCCGGGTTCGATCCCTGGCTGAGACAAACATCGATGTGGCGAGCATTAGGTGTTGTGCTTAGGTCTTGGGTGTTTAAATATGTATTTATATGTCTACCTATCTATAATATGTATGTATATCCGTTGCCTAGTACCCATAACACAAGCTTCACCAGCTTAGCATGGGACTAGGTCAATTGGTGTGAATTGTCCTATCAAAAAAAAAACTGTATAAAATCAGGTGACTCTCAAGCACCCTGTAAATCAAATAGGTAACACATTGTACACTTATGTCTTGTCAGTAAAGATAAGAATAGAGATACATATAAGATCTACAAATTATATATAACTACTACTACTACATTTTATATAATATATCGAAACAAATACGAATTGCACGTATTGTAGGTATGTATATAAGTGTGTGGTTCCATCATTAAGCATTTTTTTGTTATAGAAGGGTATGAAACTTAATTTCGCAACGTTTGACCAGTCTAACTTCCTTGAATATTTCTATTAAGTACTTTACAAATAAAACTTGTAGCGGTAAGATGCGCAGTAGAGGTGTAAAGGCGCTAATATGTTGACAGAGTTATTACTTTCCTAATTTCATTTTGTGCCCTTTGCTAAATGCACTCACATGAGTGCAGTACGTGAGGGTGTTTTAATTATATCTGCTCGTCTAAGACGAATAATTAAACGAAAACGGAAAAAACTATTAGAAGTTGGGTTAAAAAATGGATAGCTACGAGAAACAATTTTGGAGCATCTTAACACATTGTGCCTTGAATTGCAATTTAGGCACAAAAATATTTTCAGCCCCAACTCTAGCCCCCAAAGATGATTTTACTTTCATTCTTGTAAATACTGACTTCTCATATTTTTAATTTTTGCATTAATTTCTTTGGGACCAAATCTCGTAATTGCATTAAGAGCATCAAGGTTTTTATAGTTTTCATTTCCCGTGTTCCACAAAAACTCATAACTTCTGTAAAGTTCAATGAACTTAATATTATCGGCAGCGCCCTAATCACTAAACTCGAATGAAAAATTTCGCACTCAAATCGGTTCAAACCGATTTGTACCATAGTCGTATGAACATAAAAAAATGTTATACGAGATCGTGTTTATACTAGTCGAGATTCTCGTAAGTAAGAATCGTCTTACTACAATGTCGATGTGTAAACTGACGCAGGAAATTATCGCCTAGCGATAAATAACTGGCGAATCTCGTATGACACAATCGTAGGTGAGAATATAGTTCTTTTCTGTATGTAAACATTTTGATACGATAATGCTATAGCTATTATTGCTGGTCGTGCTGGGGTATAGTCGCGTACGACTTCTCGCATCAAAACGTGCGAGAAACTCTCTCCATCAATGGGCATTAAGGCTCAAAAAGAGATATTGCTTTTGGAGTTATACTAAAGAAATCAATATATGAATGAAAAATGAAAAACAAAATTCAATTAAATGAATTTATTTTCGTCACATACTGCCTAATGACCCATTTGTTATAAAAAACATATTTTTAACAACATGACCAACTAACTTACAGCGTACGAGTATATAACAAAATACTAAAATGATATGGTACATTGTCTAGAAATGATAAGGAGTAAATTTGCCAGTCAGATGGGGCGACTTCGTTGTGTTGAGACGGAATTAGTCTCTATTTTGATTCTAGCTAATTGTTATAATCAATCGCTTTATGAAAGAAAAGCCTATGCAAAAGCGTTATGATATGCGAGGAAATATTTGAGAAGTTTTGTGACTATGGTATTATAAAAGCATGATTATAACAATTAAACCACAGTCGCTTACGAAATTATTTCAGTCGATAATAAGTAACAGTAAACTATAACTAACACTACACAATGTATAACTTCGTTTGACTAGCAAAAGTATTTGTGCCTAGATATATAAAATAGATTTTAATTAAAAATAGGGCAGTCTTCATTGGAATTAACTTAAATGAATCCGTGTAAGGTCCAATACAAAATGTCACCAACATTCATAAACTATGCCTACTCGATACATTAACTTTCTGCCGTATTTACCAAAAACTAAAGGTATTGTCTTGTTACTCTTTATTGAGGAGCAGGGGTGTCGCTCAGGGGGAACAACGAGGAACAACTTTTCTGTTATTCTTATACATATTGAGTTTTTGTACCGCGCGATCCTAAACCACAAATCAAATCCGGAGGTTACAGAGTACCGGAACTAAACCATATAGCGACGCCCCTGCCGAGGATTGTTCGATACTTAAGATATATAATTACCCGAGGAATATATTAATTAGGAAGGTCTGTCTTCGCCAGCTGTCAATTGTCAACTACAAATTTGTGTGACGTAATGTCTATGTATATTGGTCGTAATTAATGTCAGCCATTTCGAAAATAAATACCAGCCTCACGAGTTTTACAATGACGTGACCCGTAGAACGGTTGTTCGTACAAGTATTACCACAGATAATGACGTTTACCTGTCAAATTTGAGGTGGGATTTTAATATGGATGAAGTGGTTGATGTAATGGCAGTAGCAAATATTTTTATTAGTAAATGATCAATTTATTTATCAAGAAGTGACTCATTAAACGCAAGATATGTATTATCTGTTCATAAATATATCGCTTAGACAAGTTTCTTGTTTAACCCGAAATACATAAAACAACGTTGCTAAACTTGTCCACGCCTAATTATGATAGATATCAAACTTGACACATCTCTTTAATCTACGACTCGTAGCAATTACGATTAGATATAGAACCGGAGAGCATAAAAAGTATGTATTATATAGTTCATTATCTCAACATTCGAAGTTATGTAGCGTATTAATGAAAACTCAGGTTTCCATAAAATTTACAAGAATCAAACAAGTCATACTTTATATGGATATAACTTTTCATTACATCGTAACTAGTTTTAAGACTTTGGTCAATAAGGCATTAAGTTTAAAATATATATTTACTTTTAATTATTGTTCTTCTTAGTTATAATATTCGATACTCGTCAATACATTTAATACAACAGTTATTTACACGGCTTAAGAGCCCCAATCTGATAGTTTTCAACACAAGCGAGTGAAACAGAGCTGTCAAATACTTCAATAACATCAAAATACAATATTTTGTCTCTATTAAACGTGTCACTATGCATATAACTGAACGCGACAAAACATTTTTCAACTATTCAAGGCCATTATGACCATTGAACTCATTTGTTAGGTTAGAAATGACGTAAAAGCTCTGTTGAACTCGCAATCGAAATTACGAATAAATTTTAATACATTCATAATATTCATAAACTTTGAATATCCCAAAGAGTACATAGTACAAAACTGTTTATTGTGTTACATGGCACTAGTTATTGGCTAAACCTATCTATCTACACGACATATGTACATATATTTTGGCAACATTGCGGGGTTCCAAGCGAATAATTATTTTATTAAAATACTTCTTCTAATCAATAGGCCGGGGTATTTTATAGTTCATAGTTCCATTATAAACGAATGGTTACAATTAATTTTCGTAAGGAAACCTCGTGCAGCAAGTTCTGGGTACTGGGTACACGTAACAATAGATCGTTCGAATAGACTTGTAGACTAGACCTACCAACAATCGTCAAGATATTTGAATGCTTGACAAAAATTGAAACCTATATGCTAAAAGTCTTTAAAGTAAAAACGCCGAAAGTGCCACGACCATGAATTCTTTCAAATTGTAATAGCATTTTATTTATTATTATTTAATAATTTAAGTTGTTTAAATGGATTTTACATTTTACAATTTTAAAGTACTTAAAAAACTTACTTAGTACTTTTTTTTTGTATTTTAAAGTGTTTTGCGTCTCCTATTTCGGATTTTATGTATGTTTCTTGTATGGACTAGTTAGTTTTTATTTCTAACTCCTTAAATCCAAGCCATTAAACATCAATAACTCACTTGGACCCTTGGGGGACTGTCTTGAGATTTTAGTTTTTAGAAGTTAATTTAGTCCCCCTTATGGGCCCTCAGACATTGATTTGAAAGGCTTCCCTGGAGACCTTGGAGTCGTGCCCGTGTCGCTTGCGTCTGTCCCGGGGGTGACCCTCGCACTCCGTGTCGTCTGAGAACCGGGACGGAGGGTGGATGTGATCGTTGAATGACGGGTAGTTCGAGATACTGGAACATTTTAATTTCGATAGAATACGGCTTTGCTGCGAAACAAAAAACGCACGCATAAGAAGTGGTGAAGTCTATTGTACTAGAGTAGTTGGTAACCCTACTTAACAAAGGATAAAAATTCGGTATTTTAAAGAAAGCCCCGAAAAAACGACCACGGTTAAAGGATCGGTAAAAGCAAGCTCTCGCAATAAGGCAGTATAGTTGAGAAATCTTATTTTTATCTGTTTAGCACGTATATTGTAGAAAATAAATGTTATAATACGTATTAATGTTAAAAGTAAAACGTTTATAGACATATTTCATTCACACCAGATTAACAACTGCACCATTATTTTGACAAAGTAGATGGAGCTAACATGGCAACATTTCAATTGGTTTTAATATCAAACAGTTATCAAGGGGGCTTTGTCCAGATGCTTTAACTGTAATAAAATTACATTTCGTGTCGACAAATTTTCATACAAATTTAGTTTTCGACTTTTTACGTACACTACAGTTAGAGCACCTTGACTAAGCCCCAAGGTCATGTCAACTTGACATACGGTCTCTGCTGACAATAGGCTATTTGACAGTTGTGAACAATTAAAGTGTTTATTGAGAGTTATCTGACTTTACAAAGAATGATGGAGAAAAATAACTTGTAAATAATCATTAATTTAAAACATTGATTTTATACGTCAATCACGTGACACAAGATGGTCACAGATTAGTCAAATCGACAATGACATGCTTTTAAATTACATGGATTTTCCTTATCTAATTCTAATACTGTATTCTAGTTTAGTTTGGTGGGAGGCTGTTTCTGTGTAATTTTTGTTTTTTTACGTGTTTACAAGCAACGCCATCGCCGTCTTGGCCAGAGAACCGTCATGACGGTCATGGCGGTTCCTTGAAATTAATATTTAATGTGAATTTTTTAAAATCTTGTCAAATAGCCTATTGCTAAAAAGCTTTCGAACAAGTCAAGTGAATTTCAATTCGGTTAGTACTTTTTCAAACTCATGAGCCAGAATATTGTCTATTATTGACAGTTTCTTTACGTTAAAATGAGGAATCATTATAATCTAATTCTAGTATCTATGCATGCGTGTTTTGTTTTTTAATATGGATATTGTGCTGTGTAAATACTTAGGGCTTGGTAAAAGTGACAAAACTACTTATAAATTACATAATTTATTTTTTATTTTCAGTACTTCAAAAGAGTGGTTACCCCACACCAATGATGCTTTAGACTAGGAACCAGCAGCACCCTGTTACTTACAATAGGGAAGAAATGTATGCACTTTTAAAATATAGAGCCAAGTTAAAGGAATTGGCAACGCGCTGTAGCGCTGATGCTACCTTGGAATCGTGGTACTCAACAGTCGTAATCTATGGTAAGTGACAGAGTACCAGTGCAGCATCTGTCCCAATAATGTTTAATATTAAATTCGAAAGTATTTTGAGATAAAAGTGCAATATCTACATGACGTCACTAAAGCGTAACCGAACTAAATGGTGCTATAATATGAAATGATAAACGAACATCATGTGTCGGTGTTTTGGACAGTAACCTAAAGGTGGTCTCGTCGTTGTGGCTGCTGTAACCGCTGGAAGACCTCACGTGCCGTTTGCCAACACCAGCCTTTCCCTTTCGCGAGGGAAACGCCTTCCGGACCACGCCCGCCACCGAGTTCTCTGATGACGACGATGACTCTCCACGCTCAACTGTCGGATCTGTATTAAGATTAAATATTTATGATATATGAAGTTGGTAAATGACCTATATTTTAAAATTTAAATATGTGTACAAAATTAAAATGCCTATTTACAATTATTAATTTTAAATTGTAACGGGCCATTTAGAACACACGAAAGGTTAACAGTTATAATTGTCAAATATAAATGATCGTAATGTGATAAACGAGTTTTTCAAAGTGTTATTTATTTACAGCCTTGCGATTCTGTAACTCACTTTTCGAACTCTCACAGCGGTTTTCACAGTGGCGGTCGCGCTCTAATCAGTCGTGAAGCAGTCATTTTACGATTTGGGATTCTGATAAGGAGGGAGCTTGTAGTTTATTGTTTATCAGTTCGAAAAGTGAGTTACAGAATCGCAAGGCTGTTCTAGTAAATGAATTTTTATACATAACAATAAGAACTATATGTAGACAGAGACCCATTAATAGCTAATAAAGGATTATAGTACGTGGTATTAATCATATATCCTTTCATAAGCTAAACCAATCTAGCCTTTAGCTCCCTAAAGAATCGCAGAGCCTAGTGGAGTACGTGTGTAATAGTAGTTGTCGATTGTACTAATGGCGAAAGTCTTAAAGAACGAGGCACAAATAAGCCCCTATCCGCCCCTATTCGGCCTACGTATAAGGGTACAATACATGTGGGTGGCGGCGCAGGCCTGAGCGGCGCGGCGCGTTCGCTGTCCGAGTGCGGGGCGCTCGCGTCGTCGCTGACATCATCCTCGTACTCTGTAATGGGCAGGTGCAGCGTTAGTATCTTCTTCACCTCCGAATCCGTCGACCCCAAGTTGTCCGACTCTGTAACGTCACAAACAGATCAAAACCGCTTCCAGGACCCACGACCGTGATAAGATGTGATGGTAGCGATGATGGAAGCGATGGAGGAACTAGTAATGAACTAAATTTGGAACTTGTGCATGCTTACCTTAATAAATTACAACACATTACGCTCCCAGGATGCATAAAATGCGATCAATTTGTCAAATTCAAATATAACGGGTTATAAACTATAAATAGTGCGGTCTACGTAAAATAATTCATCTAACTACAATTAGATAAGCTTTGCAAACTGCGATTATTGTTTTTCATACCTTGGCTCTCGGACAGCGGGTCACGGAGTCTGTTCCCTTTTCTTCTCACTTTCGTGTATTCTGGTTCTTTTCCCTGGAAGTGGTATTTTATGATAACATTTAACACTTTTTTCGAGATGACATAAAAAAACGAGTGGAGCATGACGTACAGACCCGAGCGGTAACGCAAGTTCGGCTCTGTACATCGAGAGCAAACAACGTATACGGCGAGAGAACGTTGAGGTATTTGCTACCGCGGCTAATAAATGGTCTACCCAATCAGATATTAGATTGCCTAACGCCAACTAACATAAACAGCAAATTAAAAAACTACTTTTATTATGCATTTGTCGCGCTCCTAAACAAGACTGCTGCTGGTTACATTAATACAAACCACAGCGGTTTTCTAATGTAACATATTGTGATTGTATTATATTATTTTGTAAAATAATGAAAAAAAAGAGCCGGCTGTATGTTTACGAGTGGAAAATGACGATATAGAAAGACGAGAGCTGGGAATAGAGTAAATGAAGCCAAGAATCTGGCCGTACATAGGCTTATGGCAGTGAATGTTGGGTAAGGCAGAGGAAGAATAAAAGTAGAATGCCGTGGAAATGACAGCGTTAAGAAGTATGTGTGGTGTAACATTGCGTGATAGGATGAGTAATAGTGAGATACGTGGGCATTGTGGGTTAAAAGAGGACGATGATAAGGCTGACGATGGCTGGCCATGCGTCATACTCGTGAACGGGTGCTACTTGTGGTGACTGGTCGGACTTGAATTCGTGTATGCGGTGACGTTATTTCGACTATGTATTTGCGTTTTGTTCTCACGAGAATGTAAGTGCGTGCTCCTATTTCACCTGCTGATAGAGGACAAATCTTTGTTTTTAATTTATTTTATTATTATTAATTACTTAAGATGTCATGTGAAACATGGCGTAATGGTTGCAGCTCCTTACAAACATTGTTTTAAACAAAAAAACTTGGCGATTAAAGAGTGGCGGAGAGTTTATTGTCAGTTCTTCTCATCCGTACTACGCCCTTGATTTGAGAATTGGCAGTAAATGTAAAATTAGAAGCATCTAATGTATATTTCTTTTTTGACGTTCATAAGCGTACATAGTGTTACCTTTATGAATAAATGATTTCGATTTGATTTGATACCAAAGAGAATGGTAATAGTTTGGCCATGTAGAACGGATGAATGAGAAGCGGTTAACAAGCGGTTAATACAAGGCAACCGTGGTTGGTGAAATCGGGTTGGGTAGGCCTTGTACATACCAAATCCAGGAGGTAAAGAAGGGACAAGTTAAAAGTACCCATAACCGACGGTCTTGTATAGTAAATGTCATGAAATTGGATGAAACTAGAGAGGTATGACAGTACCTTAACAAGTGGGGTCGGTGGAAATGGAAAAATGGCGTGATGATTTAAACAAATATTTTTGAGTGCCCCTATGGTGTAGTACTGTTGTGGGATCTCAGCTAGGTTGCGTAAGGAGTAGTACTTTTTGTTTTAATGTAGCTTTTAAGGTGTTAACGTTACTAACACATTTATGGGTGGACTGTATCGGTCTGATAAACAAAGATTATTTGTAAAAAAAAAAATACAATACAAAAATGTAGACTGTAGATTAAAAGAGTTTGTACGATATTTCACGGATAACTTCCTATTACATTAATCAAGTCTGAATGAGTTTTTATATGTATATTGATCTTCTGTGCGTTCCTAATTATATTCTTCCTAAACGGTTGGATCGATTTTGATGTGAACACATAAAAAAGTGTTATCAAGTTTAGATTTACAATTCGATGTTTTTTTTTAGTTTACAATCCAGACTGTTATTTAAAAACGTTTGAATTTTTTGGTATTTAAGACATACAATGTGTGCCGGGTCCGCTAGATTTTATAAATTTCAATGTGTGTTTTTTATATGCGTTTACCTCTATGCAAATTTAACTGTCAAATAGCCCATTAACACTAGATAAATTGGTATATTCAATTGATATTACCTTATATTTATCATTCTTTTTAACATCGTGGTAGACAAAGGAGCCCCTCACGGAGTGGTAAGGGCCGCTGTAGACGTTGCCGCTGTAGCTGCTCTCGCTATACGCACTCGGTTTGGTCAACTGGAATGTTGCGTATGGGCAGATGTCTTCTATGTATTCTGGAACATAAATAAATCGTATTTGAAAAATATTTTACACATTGTTAAGTAATGTATATAATTCTTGTGTATGTACATATTTAATAAAAAATGATACTCAAAGCGGTATTCCATACATCAAGGTCAAACCGAAATCGGGCGATGGGGCAGGTTGTCGTTAAACCCAGACGGTAATTATAAGATTATATTTGTATTTAAAAAAAAACCAAATGAATTTGCAGTCAATATTCTTATTCCGATACTATACTGGTTAAAAATGTACTATGCTATGCTCGCCGGTGACATACAACTTGCCACCTTCCCAATCGGACTTCTATATATGTGCTTAGTAAGTTATATTAGTAAATTTTTATTAGATTTTTACTACATAGTTTTTACTACAAACATTAATAGCCCTAATAATCGAAAAAAGTTAATTGTGCAAGGAAAGTCTCAATTTATAAAGTACTAGTTAAGATTTCCTATATTTTGGCATTTTTTTACAACTCCGATAAAAATCGTAATATTTCAGTTAATTTACATAAAACACACATGAATCAAAATATTGGTCCGTCAACAATCTAAGTAATTTTGAGTAGGTATGCATACAGACACGCGCAGCCGGGGCACTTCATTTTTTATCTAAGGCTTACCATTAGATGCGTGTTTATAGTGATGGGTTGGGTTTGGAAGATGCGCCCGCGCAGCCAAATACTGCTGGTCGCGATTGACTTTGTTCTGAAGCTGCGCGACAGACGGCGATTCGCCTGCTCCGCTCTCTGTCACTGCTGTCTCTGTACCACTCGTCTCTGCCGGACGAGGAGCTATATTATGTTTCATTTATTATATATAGGAATATGTAGGTATTATATAAAAACATTTTTTATAAATAATATAAATTTTTGTAGTGTACGATCGGCAATATTTCAAAATATTGATTTAAAAAACAATGTTCTAAGCTAATTAAAGGCATGAAACGCTCGTAGAAGTACTATATTTGGAGATTTCAGACTTTTTAGTTCATCGTTGTTGATTTGCCAAAATGGGCCCAACTCAGCATTCAGTTGCTGTCAACAGCAACAAAGCACACAACATATTTCTAGATATACGATATGATTTTTACAGACTTTACGGTATACCCTACTAAGGATAGTGTGTGTATTTTTGTGAATAAATAAATAAAAAATTATAAAAAGAAGTTCGGTGGACTATTAATTAAAGAAAACTATTAAGTATTAACTAATTGATAAACTATCAATAACAAACTATTAACTAACTTATTTTTGAAGTGAAACTTCTTTATCGAGGTTGGAAAAAAATTTAGTGTAACATTTTTTCGTTACGCGTCACATTTTTCGGTTACGCACCATGTTGCTTTTTGAAGTCAAACTTCTTTATCGGCGTTGGAATGAAACTTCTTTATCGACGTATGGGAGAAATTTTGTAGCAAATCGTCACGTTCACGTTCACGTTCAATGGTAGTAATAATTCTATTACAATTAATGAAATTCTATAATAATCTTCGTAGTAATAAGGTAAAATGAAATATTTGTATTCATGTCTATGATAATAAAAGCCTTTTGTTAAACTTTATCTAATTTAACGAATTTCTGTAAAGTTGCATATAGTAGATCATTTTTCGAAAAACAAGATCATAAAGAAGTTTCACTTCTTACGTGTGTACACCTAGTACACGCACAATTTATTTTAAACTATTACTTTAAAAAAAAATCACTGGTAGATGTAGATTTATGTTAATACTTGTTTTAATAGTTGCCACTTATTTTTTGCATACCTTACCTTATAATTCCTTCAATCCTTTACAACATACGCAGTTTATAGAAATACTCACTATTTCTTCTAACAAGTAGCACAATTGCAATGAGGGCAGCCAAGACTAGAAGAGATAGCGCTGCAGGCAGTATGACTCTAGCACCTCCCAAAGACCTCGCTCCTGCAGCCGGTACCGCTGGAGATATCTCTCCTTCCAACACTGAAATTATTATACTTGTACACCACTAATCACGAGCGTAAAATGAAAATTGGTAATAAACTCTGCGTGTCTTTACATACATCGCCAAGTTTTAGTACAAGATGTTTGCAAGGAATCGCAATCACTTTTGTTCCATATGAATTAATGATAAAAATTGTTAAATTTCACAGTTTTATCAATAAATATCTGTCTCTTTTCGTCACAGCATAAACACGATTTGGCAGAAAGAGACGAAATACTTCAATTGAAAGAGTGCAATTGATTGAGTTTCTATGAAGGGCTTACTTCTAGTGGGCCAACTAGGAGCAAGAAAATATTATAATTTATTATCTAAAAATACAAATAGCACTTACTCCTACGGCATATAAACAAAGGCAAATATCGTGAGGAATCAACAAATATTTCAACCCCAAAATCGATGACATGTCTCAGACTGACTGATGATACAAAAATGATTGAAGAAAGATTCAATTTGAGATCCATTTAGGGTTGCAGCGCCACTGGACTAATATTTTTTGAAAATAAAAAAAATCCAGAGTCAAGATTGATACTGAACGAAAAATAAGTCATCTATAATATAATTATCTATATCTTGTAATTTCTAATTTAGCTGTATTTTTACGCAATGTTTAAAAACATCAGTCTCGTTACTTTGTAATCAGTAGAATATTTGCATAAGTTTATTGATTTTTGTGATCACCTAATTATTGTTTATTGTCTATGTTATGTAGGCGAGTTATTGTTTCAAAAAACTCTTATTTCGAAATACTCTTATAGCCTGTAGGTACTTCCATTTTTTGTTAGTCTGAGGAACCTCCGAAAATATTCACTAAGCCAATAAGATACATCTCTAATAGATCATCCGAAATAAAAACTTACTACCGCTGAGTGAGTGAGTGGTAAAGTTGTAAAGAGCGAGGGCGTGTCCGGCGTTGTTATGAGCTGTTATCCGAAGTTGGTAATGCGTAGCTGGAGAGAGTCCGGTCACGCTGAACACCCGCTCTGTTGCTTGCACGCTGTTCGATACTAAGCGCCACTGGGGAAAACGTAATGAAAATTGTTAAGATGTATTTAGAACTGGGTCTTAGGGTATTAAAAATAGACGTCGATAGAATTGTATGTGAAAATCAAATACTATTTTGATATATAGTTAATTGATAAGATGGCGTTAATTTCGAACCTTTTAATAGACTAGAAAATCTTTTTCCGATACTGAAAATCAACTTTAGCGTGATTGCTGAAAATAAATAATGTACAGTGAAATTAGTCTCGAGAAATTTTTGCATATGTAGTGGTGTGTATATTACTCAGATCTTAGAGCGCGTTTCCACTATATCGTTCTGGCCTATACAAAAATGTTTCGATATCCTAACATTACTATTTAATATTATACTTATCCCTAGCAACACTCTGATTTTTGTTATCAATAAAAACAAGTTTTTATTTAAAAAAAAGGTTTTGACTTTATAAAAAAAGGTGTGTGCGCGATTCACACACGATAGAAGTGAAACTTCAAAGAGGAGAGACCGATATATATTTTTTTTTCCTTTCATCTAGGTTTTTAAAACTCCGGGGGTCTACGGGGGGTCAAAATTTATTTTTGGCCTAGGACGCACCGTTTCCGAGATATTTCAATCTAAAGCAAAAAATCGTCACTTGATAGTGGAAAGTGGAAACACGCACAAAACCAGAATAAACCAGTTTACGCTGTCCGCAGGTGCCACGTGCAGTCCGGCGTCAGTCGCTTGGTACTGTTAGAACATAAAGCACACATTTCATTCAAAAATTATAATTATTACGTTAATTGTTAAATTTTGTATTTGTTGATTGTTGTTATTGTTTGTTATTATTGTTATAATATTTGTTGAAGTGTTTAATTTGTGTGTAAGTGTTGCAACTTTATATTGTTAATTAAAAATGGCTCCAGTGTTAAAACATGGTCGAGGCAAGCCTTTGACTTCTCAAACTAAAGAAGTTTTGTACTGTTTGTACAAATATTTCGAAAATGAGTGTAATAACAACCCGAGCAGTATTATGACTCCCACTCAATTAGTTGCTAAATCAACGGGAATTTCAATAGCATCCGTCAGAAAGGTAGTATCAGAAAGCAAATGTCGACCTTCAGATCAGGAAGTAACATTTAAATCTCCTAAAAAGAAACCGAATCGTAAACCTACAATAGTAATCGATAACTTTGATCAGCAAGTTATCAGAAGAACAATTCATGACTTCCACATCACAAATAAAGAAATTCCCACTTTGAAAACTTTGCACGCAAAATTAAAAGAAGATATCGATTATAAAGGTTGTGTCAGCACGTTACGAAAACACGTCATGTCATTAGGTTTTAATTGGAAGCAAACAGAAGATAACCGGAAACTTCTTATGGAAAAACACGAAATTAGATACTTGCGAATTAATTATTTGATGAAAATTGCTGAATATCGTGAACAACGCCGACCAATTGTTTACACCGACGAAACATATATACATACATCACATACCCTCTCGAAATCTTGGTCAGATGGAAGCACTTCAGGTTTGAAGCAACATATATCGAAAGGCAACCGCTTAATCATTGTTCATGCCGGTGGTATGGATGGCTTTATACCAAATGCATTGCTTATGTTTAAAGCCAACCAAAAAAGTGGAGATTACCACGACAATATGAACTATGACAACTATTCAAGGTAGATTCAAACTCAATTAATACCCAACTTACAACCAAATAGTGTTGTTGTTGTTGACAACGCACCATATCATAACTCAATACAAAATCCTGCACCGAATAGTAATTCTAGAAAACAGCAAATGATTGACTGGCTGACATTGCGAAACATTGAGCATTCATCCACGTTGCTTAAGCCTCAATTATATGAACTGATTCTGCAAAACAAGGCGAGATTTGTAGAGTACAAGATAGACGAAATATTACGACAGCACGGTCATACTGTGCTGCGTTTACCACCATACCATCCGGAGTTTAATCCTATAGAAAATATATGGGGGATAGTGAAAACATATGTCGCAAAAAAGAATGTCGCAATGAATATGAAGGTTATAATGTCATTAGCTGAAGAAAAAATGAACGCCATAACTGTAGAGGAATGGAGAAAAGTTTGTCTGCATGCTATTGAGGAGGAAAACAAATATCAGGGTAGAGACGCAGCTTTAGACACAATATCAGAACGAATCATAATTAATTTAAATAATTCATCTGATGAAAGCGAGGATGGGGATGATTGTGATATGCCTGGGGTTGATGAATTATTAGAATAAAACATTTATGGCCGGAGAACACCTAATTCATACACGTCTTCACTGAAGTGAAAACCGGCATTCACTGCTTGTAATATTTGGAACTGGCTTATCTGCCTCATACAGTTCCATAGATTACAATGCAGTGGATACACATTTTCACGTCCGTATTAGTACGTAGTGCGTATGCGTAGACGTGTACGCATTTGGTGTGCTCCAGCCACAAACGTATATTACCTTTAAAAAAATAAAAACTAAAAATAAAATGTTGTTTTTTTTTTATTTGCTGACCATACACTACTACAAACGCAAAAATTTCTCCAAGCTAATTTACCTGTAATAAACTCGCGTTTATAGTATTTAATTAAGAAATACCTGAGTTTGGCTGACTTCTCTGTACTCTATGACAAAGTACAGTATCCCACAACCGCCATCTCCCCAAGAGTCGAGCCATACCGTTACAGTTGTGGTATTCAATGTTATCATTTGTGAATGCTTGGGCTTTACTGGAACTGTTGAAGAAAACGTTTTTAGTTATATGCGGTGGCAATTCAACATCTTGACACAACACGAATAAGACGCCTAAAGATAACTAAACCTATTGAGTTAACAAACCTAGTGTAGTGAATATAAGTACCAGTGTGGTATCTCGGACACACTAAAAAAAAACATTCACTTGATTACATATATACATAAAAGAATACAAACACAATCACTTTAATCAAAAACTCGGCTTTAAGTTGCTGTCATCAGCAACACTAATTTTCAGTGGGACCATACAGTCTTGGACTATCAGCTATTACTAAACAAAAATGCTAACAATAAAAATAAAATAATTGTTTAAAAAAAGAAAGCAAAGAGTCCAATTAAAAAACTATATGGATAAAAAAATAAATATGTTTATTATGGAATTTAAGATACAGGTACTAATTCCACGTCATTAAGTTTGAATCGGTAGACATCCCTACTCATCGGGAAAGAAGACAGAGGGTGTAGGCCGAGATAAAAAGCCGCCTTTCTTACCGGTGCCCTTAGTATAAGCATGTACGATATCGCACGGCAGACCAGTCCCGATGCGATTAAAGGCGGTAATGTAAAGCTGGTACCGAGTGCCGCACCAGAGGTTTGGAAGGACGTGTTCCGAAGTACCAGCTTCCACTTGAAGCTCCTCCCAATCGCCGTGTTCCCGTTTGTAATTTATTACGTATCCTGGAAGGCAAAAGTCCCATATAAAAAAATTATGGTTTTTTATACATATTAATGTTAACTAAATTTTAAGGGACATTTAAGGTACTCTGAGAACAGAATACTAAAGATGCAAATGGCTATTGGTATAATTATTAAATAAAACATTAAAATCTATAAGAAGAAATAAAGATTTCAAAAGATATATATAATTGATAGATACCTAAAATAGGACTGCCCCCGTCGCCCTGGTCGCTCCACTGAAGATGTAGGGAGTCTGCATAGGAGTCCACCACAGCTAGCACTGGAGGCTGCGGGGGGACTTTCACCTCCACTATGTAGGTGACGTCATCGTGGCCATGTTGGTTCTCTACCAGGCATGTGTAGTTACCGCTGTCCGCGTATTGGGTCATGCTAAAACGACGAATGAAAAAATGTAAATCTCTAAATTAATCAACTTTAAAAGTCCGTCAGAATAAATTATTATTTAAAAATGAATTCCTGTTCGTTTGTCTCGCTAAAACTCGAAAATGGTTGGACATTTCGGCTAAATATGATCTTGAAGCATTTGGGATAGTTCAAGGAAGATTAAACGATGGGAAACATAAATAATAACAAAAAAAATATAAAAACTACAGTTGAATTTAAATAAAAAAAATATTAATAATTATAAAAAAACTGTTTTCAGGTGGAAAATATTTGATGTCCTTTTAGAAATAAAATTGTATCGAAAATTCTAGCATACCTACACAATTTTAAGAGTAAATACAAAAATGACTTCAAATCTTGGAATAGACATTTGGGTTTTAATAATTCAGTATGATTATGAGGAATTGGTTCAAAGCACGGGTACTCTTCACCTTCCAATAGCAATAGCAATGGCTTCAATATTGAGTTGCTGTACCTATCTTTTCTATCAGCGCTACCGACATTCAGAGCACATCGATATTCCATACAAAAACCACTATGGAAGTTACAGAGTACCGATACAGTTTGATCTAGATGATCAACTTTAGCGAATTCTAGCTTACCTTATAATAAGTGTCCCGTCACTTGTAACATTCTTGCGTAAAGTAGATTCCAATATGGCGCCGTTCATACTCCAAGTGGTTGAAGGTGTGGGAATACCCACTTTATTGCATGACAGGGAAATGTTCTCCTTCCACGGTGTTACGATACTACGGCTGAACGATGTTATTCGCGCTGGCACTGTCATTACATTTATTATTAAATTTTTATATAACAAGGCGCAATCTGGCACGACGCTCAATATACACTGTAAACTCTTTATAACGAATTACAAGGGACTTTTTTTGTTATTGAGAGTTTTTTTTTTATAGGGAGGGAAGAGAAAAAAAACTTAACTTATTAATGTATGGGTTTTGTGTTAAACCAAACAAATGTAACCACGGTTGTTTTTCCGTATAGAGAGTTTTTCGTTATAAAAAATGTACACTGTATGTGTCCATAAGAGTTTGTATGAGAAAAGTCTTAATTATTAAGAATTACTTTTTTGTATTAGTCTCGAATTGGGGTACAATTACAAAAAAATATTGTTCGTTTATACTTCATTTTAGACCATTTTTTTTAATTTATAGCGCCTTTTTTATTTGAAACTTTTGTCACTCAATGTCCTAAAGCAAGAATCTGATTACTTTTTGATGTATAGTATATTTTAGCCCGATTATATTTTGACAAGATAGATATTGGAGACTTCTGAAAGAAATAATCATTGTTTTACGCTTACCAGAGTCAGAGGGCAGCACAGTGACGACCCTAGTCGTGTCTCCTTCCCCAAGTCTCGTGGAAGCGGAGACCCAGAACTGATGCGTGGCTCGAGATGGGGATCGAGACGTCTCATGTGTGAGGGTACTTGGAGATAACATGCGTTTGTGGGTACCCTCCTGGAACGAAGTTCACAAATTTTACAATTACATTACAATAAACTTATGGAACGCAGATAAGATATCACGCCAATATATCTACTTTATCATTTGGCGAATCTAAATCATTGCGTCCCACACTAGTTTCTGTATTATTTGTGGAAGCAAAATCTAATAGGCAAGTCTCAGAGATGAGTGTCGCATGCTTAAGTCACTAGGCAAGATGAATAATAACAATTTAATAATTATAATTTCTTAATAAGCAACTTGTGATCCAAACTGTTTTAATGAACCAAGAATATTTTATCAATAACTGCCCATTTAGCAAAGCTGTGTTATAGCTTAGCTACCCTAAACAAAGCGAAAATCGATTTAATTAACTCACTTCTCTCCCGTCTTCAATAACACTCATATACAGAGTGTAGCCCACAAGTACGCCATTGGGTGAAGCGGGTGGAAGCCATGACACGAGAATCTTGTTCCTCGATGACACTGCGGCTTTTATATCGGCTGGCGCTGATGGCACTGAAATATTTATTATAAATCGTAAATGTCTAATTCTTTTTTCTTTTATCCAGAACTGGATAGACGTTTGGCCAATGTGGCCTATTGGAGGGCATGACTGTCCAGGAGATACCTATTTATCCACCGCTTACATAAATAAATAAATATACATATTAGACTGTCTAGGGATGATGGAAGAGGCCAAGGAGTACCTTTGCTGTTTTTATAAGAAACGACGATGCAAGTCAAGCAGTGTCTATTGACGGAATCAGGTTGAATAGTTCCATGGAGCATTCTCCGGGGTACAATCTATAGATGACTGAAAGGCAGGCAACTGAACGGCGACGGTCAAGACTTAGGAGTAGAATTTCAACAAGTGAATCGGGTTCTATAATTCGCTTAGAGCGCCTCTAAATAGCATCCAAGGCACCAATGACATTTGGCAGCACCAGCCCACAGATGACCTCGTAGTTTTAATCGTTGATTATTTTTAAAAGCGTATCATGACATGTTAAGCATGACTTAACAACACCTTGTTGTTTTGGATTTCATTTGGATTCAAAGGAAAAATAACAAACATTGTTTTTGACATAACAATTCTACCAATATCGAATCGTTGCATGATTGTTTTACTTGAACGGGTTTGTCAAAGTTTAAAGAGCGATTTATTGTTACAATTTTACGAGTGCAAAGCATACCCTTAAGAGCATCAAGGATCTATCCCACGTCCCAGATCACTTACCATCTTCCTCAGTATGGCAGTAAACAGGGGCGGCTCTCACACCATCCCCTGCTGCAGTAAACGCACACACAGTAACGGAATAGTTCGTATAGCGACGCAACCCTGACAGTGTTGTGTGCAGGCCTGATATCTGCTTTGTTACAGCATCTTCGCTCCCTGGAAAAACGAAGCATGTTACGAATATTAAAGTCAAAGTCAAAAATCTTTTATTTATATAGGTAACACAATGTACACTTATGAACGTCAAAAAATATACATCAGATGCTTCTAATTTTACATTTACTGCCAGTTCTCAAATCAAGGGCGTAAAACGGAAGAGAAGATACAAATATTAAATTTTTATTACATCCGAAATAGTTCTGAAATGTCCAGTCTTGAAGATTGTAACAATTTTCCGTAATTTTAAATTTCAAAATTGGTGTTGATGGTAGACAAACTAAATCACATTTTTTATTGTTAATAAAGTATTTATTTCCAATACACAAATATACAGTATTTACAATATTCTTAACCGAGATAGTAATTATAACTAAAAACGGAGAAATGGTAAATTAAAACAAATTTAAAAAGTGTGGACCCTCTGGCAGTGTACGTATGATACGGGCAGCATTTTATATTAATTAAAAAAATAGCACGAATTTTAGTATAGCTTCGTCAAGTATTAATAATACTGTAATGTTAGTTTTAAGCTTTCAGCATTGATTTTTCATATAATTCGTTTTTACAAGAATGTTCTTTCCATTTAGTTCGGAACAAGTTCACGCTGCTCAAGTTTTAAACTAAAATTTATTTTAACATCTCTAATATCAAATTTTTGTGGGGTTTTTAACACTCATAGTACCAGCTGCAAATGTTGAATTGTATTTAATATTCAATCGATTCTATAACGATGTACTTTTTACACTGTCTAATAGAAAAGGTTAAAAATTTTCATTGCTATACAGGTCAAAGGTCAATTCCACGTTTGTTTCTATTATTCTAGAGTCGACATTTATTATTAGGTTCAATATTAACTTACCATACCAATCGGTGACAGGCGCATATGTCACCCTAAAACCCTGTAACACTCCATTCCGCCCTCGCATCGGCGGAGGCTCCCAATTCACTCGTACGGACTGAGAGCTCAGAGCGGAACACGTTAGTGAGCCGGGGGGTAGACTTGGTACTAGATTGTGAAATATTTAATTACGATCGTAAGAAGTATATATATATTTTTTTTAAAGACAATTCACACCAATTGACCTAGCCCCATGCTAAGCTGGTGAAGCTTGTGTTATGGGTACTTGGCAACGGATATACATACATATTATAGATAGATAGACGTACATATTTAAACACCCAAGACCTAAGCACAACACCAAATGCTCATCACATCGATGTTCGTCTCAGCCGGGGATCGAACCCGCGACCCATGGATTCGCAGTCAGGTGTACTAACCACTAGACCAATGAGTCGTCATATATAATGACATGTTAAATTTTTTTATTTTCTAAAAGTTTATTTTCGGGGTTGTATAAATTATTTCGTTAATATTGATTAAAAGTTAGATATGGCAAATAATATTAATCGTAAAGATATATTTTAAAATGTGAAACAAAATCGTGTCCTTGTGGAATGTATTTAGAATTTATGCTGATAAATTTTAATTACTTATTTATTTTAGACACTACGTAGATATAGACACTCAAACTCAAAGCAAAGCAAGTAAAATATTGTTTAATATATAAAAAAAAATATATATATTGTTATAAGCAGTTAAGTTTACAATGTTACCTGTTTTGCTAATGAATTTAAAATTCTCTTATTAAACTCAAACTCAAAATAACTTTATTCATATAGCTAACCAAGTACACTTATGAACGTCAACAGAAGAGATATTAAATTCATTCTAAATTTACTTTTGCTACCAGTTCGCAAGTAAAGGGCGTAGGGCAAGAAGAACTGGCAAGAAACTCTCCGCCACTCTTTTTAATCGGAAAGTTTTGATACAAATTGTTTGTAAGCCAGAGCAGCGATAAATATTTGAACTGGAACAAATCAATCCCAACGATTAGGATAATTTAAATAATCATCAGATTTATAAAAAACTTTATTGATTAATTTACAATTAACGAATGTTTTGAATTTACGTGGTTGAGTACGACTTAAAAACTCATTAAGTAAAGCTAATATTAGTAAAATAATAGTCCCGAAAAATGAATGGAAATATATTTTGCACACTTTCAACTATGAATATTAAACATGGTAGATGTAGAATATTATTCATAAATGCAATGTTAAATTGTTGTAAAAAGACAAGCTTTCTTAACGGCTTGAGCCTGCGCCTTTGAACCCTGGCTCTGAACCAATGGATTTACTTTCTATGTCTGAAGTAAAATGAAGGAAAAAGGAAAAATCATGAGTGTCCTCATTCAAATAAAAATTAAAGGCGTTTCAGGCACAGAAGGATAATCACCAATTTGTCTATTAACGGATAATAATATTACGAAATAGATACAGTAATCTGTGGCAAGGGTTGTAGCGCCACTGATTTCTTTTAAATATATATTTTTAATGATATAAGTTTATTTTAGTAAACAATATTTCACATGAAAATATAATCACAGTCGACTTATATGTATTGAAGAAACAGATTGTGAAAACCCGTTTGAATATTAAAGACAAGGTCTTACCGTCTTCCATAGTAGTAGCAGTGGTTGGGGGCGAGGCGGGCCCCGCCCCTCTACTATTATACGCCTGTACCACAACAGCGTACGGCGTGTGCTTCTGAAGACCGGATAACGTGGTACGAGCTCGTGCACTGCCCGTGCCTTCAACAGTACGAACTGTGTACGACGCTCCGCCCGGCCCACTCGCGCTCAGTATTGTACTGTTGTTATTGAGCTGAAGATTATGAATATTTTAAATACTGTATAATAAATATATGTAATATGTAAATAAATAATATATATAATATGTAATAAATAAGATATAACCACTGACATTTCATACTTAATATTAATATTAGCGTATGATATATCAAAATAACCACAAATCTATGTTTTGATTAAAAGGCAAGTTGCGTTTTTAGTGTGGGTGTGTACTTACGTTTTGACAACAATTATAATTGGCGTAACTGTTCTTATTATGATATTGTGATAATTATGACATTTGCATGCCTATTTTTATATGGCTGATTTTGCGTTTTTTTTATAAATAATCAATATTAATGTACCGCTTACAATTTATTTAACATTAAATATTACGATGTAAATTATGGTCAAGATTTTAGCGTCGTTAAAGTTAACGCACATATTAGAAGAACAATTTCGATTCGCGATTTTTAAATATAATTAAATTTAAAAAAATCGTTATTTATTTTTATAAGCTCATTTCTTTAAAGTAAAACGGTTGCGTGATCAAATAAATTAAATTGATTTAATAGTTAAATCTCTAAACCGGCAACTACAAGTGTATAATTAACCTGTTCATATTCGACGATAAAAGGAAATAATTGAAATTATTTTAAATAATATTTACACTGCCAGTCATACTTAAATTATTTCCGAACCAATTTGACTAAGGAAAAGAGCGTACTAATTCTTAAAAGGCATCGCACTTGCGAGCCCTCTAGCATAGAGAATGTCCATGGGCGGGCGGTATGACTTAACTTCAGTCTCCTGCCCGTTTGTCCCATGTTCTATAAAAATCACCTCTTGAAATCCCACGTAATATCCAAGAATGTTCCCATTCCACAAGTCCTTTTGGGGTGGATCCCACGTGACGATTAGTTCCGTAGAGCTTTTTGCCTCCACGCGGACATCTATAGGTGAACCGCTGGGAACTGAAAATATATTCATATTTAACTTCGCCAGTAGTGGATGTAGGGGATTTCAAAAAACTGAGCAGTTTTGAACTAAGTGTTTGAGCGTGCATCTCTGACGTCACAGATTCGAGCCTCAACTGTGAACCACTGGACTTTTTTTGCGCATTTATCTGCCTGCGTACGGCGAAGGGAAACATCGTGAGGAAACCGGTATCCCTTAGACCGAGAAATCATCCCTTAAAGTGCCTATTTGAAAAACAAATGAACACGAAACCGATGCAGAAATCTGAGGCAGAGTTGTAGCACCACTGTTTTTTTTTAATTTTGCGCAGTACATTTTTTTAATGTTGTTAAGTATAATTTAAAGGGTAGAAGTAACACTTTTCATTGCCCATATATATCGGTATCAAATAAGGGTACCAATATTTTTTTGAGTAGAAGGAAAATCTTACCTTCTTCTGTAGTAGTCACTTGTACCAATAGACTTGGTTCGCTCTGGCCCAGGCGATTCTCAGCGATAATCCTTAAGTGGTAGGAGGTGGCTGGTTGAAGATTTTGTACACTTGCTGACGTCACGCTACCGGGTACTATTACTTTTTGAGGCGTCGTGGGCCAGGGTTCTATAAAATGTTTATATCTTTTTTAATTTTCAGATATATGTAAAATATATTTGGCCCAACCCAGCAACGGAACACTGACATGGTAGTGTTATAGAATTTAACTTCTTAGACGATATAATTCAAATTATATCAATGAATTCCTAAAAAAAACAACCGACTGGTGGATTGACAGTGCTCAATAATAATCACATTCGTTTAAGATGATTAAATGTAATAAGTGTTCATAAAAAAAACAAAAATAGTTGGTTGGTTGATACATGGTTGCTATACGTACAGAAGACAACGAAGCTTTTTTTTTAGTGATGATCAGTCTATAGATCGCCTTGTCGTCCAAAGGAAGGTGGAACTTGACTGTGCGGAAGGTCACCTACGCGTTGGACTGACCAGATCAAGTCTGCCGTAGAAGGTTCAATCAATGAGTGCAGCAGTATCATGACCGCTCTGTCAAGATTGTACCGGATAAGTAGAAGATTATAATGAATACTTGTGTACCTGGAGCTTCTTTATATTGTAGAATGTAGTTTATAATAGGACTGTTGCCGGCATATGGCTGCGTCCACGATATTTGTATGGACCTTGACTGTTGGTCTATTATCCTTATGTTCTTTGGCATTTCTGGTACCTGAAACAGTATATTATTGTATTGATGTTCTTCAGAGCCTTTTTTGTATACTTTTACATTAATTTACATAAGACTCAAACTTAAACACACACACACACTACAATCTTACCTCTTGTACGACTAGGTGTATGAGCATTTCGTCCTGCCCGTACGCATTAGATGCTCGACAAGTGAGGGCACCGGTGTCTTGTCTGTATGTCTGTAATATACTCAGCTCCGACACTAGTCCATCGTCCAAGACTTGTTCACGTATTGTGTATCTGGAAATATTTGTGTGTCTGTTTTAGTGTAGTAAATCTAAGCGTACGCCCAAGGCTCCAGAAGATAAACCACTTCTTATGTGGAAATTGTATTCGTTTTTACAACAATTTAGAGAATTATCACTGATTAATTCAAAAGTCACGCTAAACGTAAATTAATCAATAAAGCTTTTTATAAATTTGACGATTATTTAAATGATCCTAATCCTTGGGATTGATTAGCTCCAGTTCAAATATTTATGGCTACCTTACAAACAATTTGTATGACTCAAAACTTGGCGATTTAAAAGAGTGGCGGAGAGTTTCTTGCCAGTTCTTCTTGCCCGCTCTACGCCTTTGACCGAACTGGTAGTAAATGTAAATTTAGAATCAATTTAACATCTTTTCTGTTGACGTTCATAAGTGTACTTGGTTACCTACATGAATAAAGTTATTTTGAGTTTGAGTTTGAAGAGAGAATTTTAAATTCATTTGCAAAACAGATTACATTATAAATTTAATTGCGTATAACTAAACAATATTTTGCTAACTTTTAAGCTAATTATAGGGATTTTGAATCTACCGAGAACTGGATTTAACCAATCGTAATAAATACAAGCGTAATAAGTGATAAATAGCGAAGAGCACAGGGACGAAAAACAAACTTCTAACCTTTGATCCAAATGGTGGGCGATTGTGTGATGATGAGGGCTTCGCCATGTGAGCTCAAGGGGTGCGTCTCCCGAAGCAGCGCATTGCAGGTGAGCAGCTTCTCCGGCTGTCACCTGGACCGTCTTACTCTTCATTGGGAAACGGGCTGGGGCTGTAAAACAGAATGTTTGTATGTCAAATGGAATTGAATATATACAAAATATTAATTGTGTCGTAAGTTCTTATGTAATTTTAACTTATGTAACGAATTGTCTTACATAATAACATATTATTGTGTTAAACAGTTGAGAAAAGACGTTAACTTCTGAACATAATAAATTTCATTGTTATCAATTGTGTTCTATTATAAGCTTTAATCCAAGGTTATAGAACGGAAGAAGAAGAAATTGGAGGACCAAACAAAGACTAGAAATGCCTCACTGCTCGCAGTTGCTCCTACATTTTTTAACTACACCAAACATTCATTATTTAATCGGGTACCTGCATTATAGAACGACTTCTTTTCAACACTATACTTATTCAATTCCCCCCTTAATTTCACTAAATTAAGACGATTTCACACACAGGCTTTAGTTACACACACAAAAACACACCCACACACTCATTCTCTCTGTCATATTATTAAGTCTGTAAACTTTCTAATTGGCGTGTCGATTTAAACATTATTTTGTATTTTAGTTGAGATAGCTGAAAGGTTTTTTTTTAAATAAATAAATGTTAAGGAAAGATAATACCTGTATAACTGAAAATTATTTAATTTTTACATTTAGTACACTAATAACTCATAAACAAAAGTATGTATCGGAGATATACCACAAAGTTTTATCAAAACCATAAATTTTAAATCGAGATGCGTTCACGATTGTAACATTTAAATTGTATTTAATTAACAAATTTCTTGGCATATATTTTGAGTAAACAAAGAGATATATACCTATTTATAATGTAAAATGTACGGTCTTTATAACTTATTATATAAACAAATAACTAATACGATTATTGCCAACTTAGTTGTAAGAGGATTTCAACAATTCGTTTCTACAACAATAACTAAAAACCCGGGCAGAAAATCGAGGCACACTCGCTAGCTACAAAAATATATTGTCCGTAGAAAGGGAGTGTTTACAGATAGTTGGGTCTCGTGATTTTATTCGACAATTTACGAGCGATTTTGTTGTTACCTATTTATTTATTCTAGCAAAAGCGAGGAAATTATGTGAAAATTAATTTAACGAATACGAAGGTCGCTGAGTTTTGCGAACAAATAATTTTTCATGTCATTGAACAAATTGTATTATTTTTATAATTTGATTTCTGATTTCTGCCTTAAAATTGTCATTTAACGGCTGAAATATGTCTGCCCCATGCTATGGGGACCCTAATTAAATCAACGTGCAAGCCTGTCAATATGTTTTGCTCTTTTTTACATTATTATATATTTATTATGTTATGATACTTTCAAATTATACAACAAAAACAGATAAAACTTTCACTCAACCAGTTATTAGTTAATTACTATTTATTTATTGTTGCGTAGGTACTAAACGATAATAAAAATTCTAGATTTTAATTCCTGTATAACAAATTCAAAGTAACTTTATTCATATAAGTAAACAAGTACACTTATGAACGTCAAAAAGAAGTTAAATTAATTGTAAATTTACATTTACTACCAGTTCGCAAGTCAAGGGCGTAGAGCGGGCAAGAAGAACTGGCAAGAAACTTTCCGCGACTCTTTTTAAGTCAATCCCAAGGATTAGGATCATTTAAATATTCGTCAAATTTATAAAAAGCTTTATTGATTAATTTTATTTGAATCGATCATAAGATCGAGATTCGATATCCAATTCTACGTAAAGCGTAAGTTTTTTTCCCCTATTTTATTTAGGGCACGTGGGCTTATTAATATTTATCATTCAGCGTGTCTGCCAATTCAATTGGACGCATCGTTGAACACCAATGTTTATGTGAAATCATTTTCCTGTTTTCGGTCCACATTAATACGGCTTTTAAAGTGATATCATCAATTTGAATACAAATTAATTACGCTTGTTCGGATTTATTTGTGTTTAAAAATTCTAATTATAATGTTACATAACATTATAGGTATTTTAATAACACACCCCGGGTTTGTAAAAATAATCAGAAATTGTTTAATTAAGTACACATGTTCACAGTTCCGAGTCATACACAAATCGTACACGTCTTAGACACTAACAGTGGTACAAATAAAAACTTACTCATTCGAACTTTATACTAGGAATAGTTATGCTTAGAATAAGCTAAGAAAAAGGAGATCATAATTTCTTACGTATAAACTCGTTACTACGTTGGTATAAACTATTCCCCCCATATGCCGTCGGAACGTCGCAATTCATTGATAAACTTAAGAAAAAAACAGAAACTTGTCTATGATAACCGTGTTTCTGTCAGTTTGATGTTTCCATTCGCGGTAATTTTGATCCGTGGTTGTTTATTTTGATTATCATAGCCAGTTTTAAAAGATTTTAAAATGCTAAATAAAAAAGAGAACGCTGAATTAATTGGGAGAAAAAAGAGAAGGTATATAGAATTACAAGATTTTAATATTTAAAATGACAGTTCAGTTACGATGTTTTCCTTCAACGTACAAGCAATATAGCGCTTTAAGAACAAATATAAACGGAATCGAACGCAAGACTTCATGAAAGTGTAACACTTAACCACTAGGCTAACAATGTTCTAGGTTATACAATAAAATCGGTTCAATTATTTTTGTTTGTTATATTATGGAATATCAAATAAAATTGGAGAACTCTTCCACGAATTAATTTGAAAAGATAAACGAGGACGTTGTGAGCAAAAAATATACGGTATAAGTCAAACGTAATGGATGAAGATACATTTGTTCTTCAAGAAAAGCCAATATCGCGTATAAGAATCATTCTTGTGGAAGCCAACTGTCTCATTTTCCAATAAAGACGAAGTATTGCGATGTACGGCCATTGAGTCTTCTGCTCAAACGCGTATATTGTTGTAATCGTTATTTATACTCTCGAAAAGTTTATTTTTGTGTGCCATTCTGCAATATTAATTGTAGGTAATCCACATGTCATGTTAGCAGTGTTGGCTTAGTGGCTTTAGCGTGCGACTCCTTAAAATCGTAGGTTCGATGCCCGTGCACCTGTGTACTTAATATTCGCTCGAACGGCGAAAAAAACATCACGAGGAAACCGGCAAGCCTTAGAAAAAGTCGAGGGAGTATTAAGTACAGGAAGCTGATCTATTTGACTATTTGATTGACAAATGATCATGAAACAGATACAAAAATTGAGGCCCAAAAAGGATAAATTTAATCCACATGTCACGTATTTTCTCACGTATTTTCTAGTTATCTTCTATATATTTACACAAGAATTAATGAATATTAACAGAAAACTTAGAAAAACACGGTGCAAGCCATCTTGTAGGGAACCATAATTTATTGAGAATAGTAAAAAAAGAATGAGAACAAGTGTGAGACAGCATGGTTTCCAGCGCGGCAGATCTGTGTCTACGAACCTGGTTCCTTATGTCACAACTCTCATGGAGCATGTTGATAAGCGGATACAAGTAGATGCGATATATACTGATTTTAGTAGCGCCTTTGACAAAGTTTGTCACCATATATTATTAAAAAAATTAATTACATTTGGTGTTTGCGGATCCTTACATTCTTGGTTTGCATCGTACCTTAAATTCAGATCATCAACAGTGGTGACAAATGGTTATGCATCAAAACCGTATGTGGCAACTTCAGGCGTGCCTCAGGGCTCTCACCTCGGGCCAATTTTATTTATTTTATTTATAAATGATATAGTAGATCATGTTCATTATAGTGAATGTTCATTGTTTGCCGATGACATGAAATTGTTTAAGACAATAACTTCAACGAATGATATTGCTCTATTGCAAAAGGATTTACTTGCTATACACACTTGGTGTAAAAATAACCTCATGATTTTAAATGCTGGTAAATGCTTTCATATAAAATTTACTAGGAATAAAAACTTATTCCAATCTTCTTACTCAATTAATGGAGTTGCTCTTGAGGAGGTTGATCGTATACGAGACCTTGGTGTGACGCTGGATAGTGCTCTCAGTTTTACTCCTCACCACGAAATAATTATAGCGAAATCATTTCAGATGCTCGGTTTCATTAGGCGTAATACCACTGACTTTAAGAATGTTAAAACTCTTATTACTCTGTACAATGCATTGGTGCGCAGCCACCTTGAGTACGCTAGTGTTGTGTGGAATCCCACATACCAAACACACAAGTATGCACTAGAACGTCCTCAAAGAACATTCACACGGTTCCTGGCGTACAAAACCCCTAAATTTTGCTACAGAAGGGATTATGTTGATCGATTACAGAAGTTCAATTTGCAAACTCTCGAGGATCGTCGTATGATTGTGGACCTGGTGTTTTTGTACAAGTTGATGAACGGCACGATTATTTGTCCAGATATTTTAAAAAAGATTTACTTCGTAGTGCCTAGAATCAACGCAAGAAGAAGACAGACTGATACTTTTGTCGTTCCACAGTCCTTAACCAATCTAGGTAAACATGCGCCCCTCAGTAGAATGCTTAGGAATTTTAACCAATGTAGTTGTAGACATAGTCTTGACGTGTATTATGACTCACTTCCTAGTTTTAAGAAGAAAATTCAGTCATCTAAGCCATAAGTCATGTAATATTTACCACGTTTCAATTTATCTATGTTTGAAGATACAAATACTTAAGTAAACTCTGTCCGCTTTCATTTATTAGAGTCAATGTTGTGTACACCTATTATTAGATTGCATGCTAGAATAAAACCTAATATTGTTAATTAGAAAATATATACATGTAATCTGTTGGTGTTCCTTAATAAATAAATAAATAAATAAAAAAGAATGTGAACAAGTGCAAGAATGCGAAATTCAATTAATAATACAAAATAATAATGATAATACAAAAATATTAATAATGGTTAATAGCGACATCAAGTTACACAGAGGAATGCAATCCAAGCATTTAAAAAAATTATAATTAATCAAACTTCATGAACTAACCTTTGAAAACCTTTGTATTTAAAAAATTGTTACAGCCTGGCTATCAAACTATTTAATCATTTTCCTAGAAGTTAT